TTCATGACTGTTCAATTACAACATTTATTTAGAATATGCCAGCAAAAGAATGTAGTTCCACATTTTATGTACCATCTATAAATAGCGAAACATTAATGAAGCTACTTAATAATATGACAAGAAAGGGAGCTGGTCTGGATGGTATTAGGATTGCAGATATAAAAAAGCATGCAAATTTAATAAGTGGTCCAATTATAAAATTTATAAATTCATCTCTCAGAAAGGCGGAAGTACTACCAGCAGCTCTAAAAAAACAATAATTAGGCCTGTTTATAAGTCTGGAAACCACTTAGATTATTCAAATTATCGCCCAATATCAATTTTGTCATCCATAAATAAAATACTAGAACGTTATGTAGCAAATTGCCTGACAACACACTTGAAGAATAATAACATAATAAATCCCTACCAGGCATACCAGAAAAACAAAGGCACAGATGAACTGTTGGCAGATTTTTCAGACATTTTAAACAGACAATTGAGCAACAGAAATCAAATTTTAGTAATTTTTATAGATTTTTCAAAGGCATTTGACACTTTAAAACATTAAAAAATTGAAGTTGCAACAAACAGAGCTGGCATTAGAGGCCAAACCAAGAATTGGTTTATGAATTATTTAAGCAACAGGGAAATTAGGGTCAAAATAAATAACTCTTATAGTAATTCTGAAAAACTGAACCAAGGGGTTCCCCAGGGAAGTATATTAGGGCCACTCTTATACTTACTTTATGTAGATAGATATTACACTTAAGGATTATACTTTATGTAATCCTTATGGAAATTGGTGAGTCGGTGGCTCAGTTGGTAGCGTCACGGACTTTGGGCCCAAGGCAGAAGTGTCGTGGGTTCGGATCCTGGTCACTGCCACAAACTTTTATCAGTACAGTTCACCTTTGTACTGTACCGGCTCACCCCTTGCTTTGCTGGATACGTTCCACGCACAGATCTGTAGTCTATGTGGACGGGCAAATGCAAGGTTAAAAGAGGCCGCCAACCTCTTTAAAAAAAAAAAAAAAAAAAAAAAAAAATGTAAATGAAATGCCAGAGATAATACAAAAAAATCGGATATACATGTATGCTGATGATACAGTACTGGTGACATCGTCACATCGAACAAAAATTTTGAAGATGGATGCAGTCAGAGATATACTACTGTATCAGACTTTTTAGAAATAACAAAATGGTGCCATGACAATGGATTGAGCATAAAATGTAAGAAATCTAAAATAATGCATATGCACTCCCCATATTACAATTGTAAAAACTCAACAGTAATAGCACATATACAAAATTGTCTACACAGTAAAACATACTTAAAAGAAAAATGTGAATGTCAAGCATTGGAAGCAGTCAACAGCTCTAAATATCTAGGAATAATTGTAGATAATAATTTAAAATGGGATGCTCATATACTATATTTAAAAGAAAAACTTCGAGCATGTGCCTCAAAACTGTACCACTTACGAGATTTCTTACCATTTAAGACATTAAAAGTTATTTATGCATCTATGTGCGAGTCACTTCTTAGCTATGGATTAAGATCATGGGGAAATGCCTCAATATCAGAATTACAGAAACTGCAGACTGACCGAACAAGAATATTAAAGATAATCACTAAGCTTGATTCTGCCATTGTAAATGAATTTCCAATGCTGTGTTATCAGTTGACAGGTGTTCTGCCGGTAGAAAAACTGTATACTTATTTGTTGGTTATTACTATTCAGATAAGTTCAAAACAAAAAAGGTCCATAGATATAACTCCAGGAAGGAATTTTATATTGTTCCTAGAATAAGAAATAAGTATACAAAACGAACAAGGAGTTATTTGGTACCAACACTATTCAATAAGCTGCCACAAAGTCTAAAAGAGGTAAAAACTTATAAATTGTTAAAGGTCAAGTTGAAGAATCTTATTTATTTGAATAGTAGAGAATTTAAAAATTCTTGTAGGCATACTTATTTTTGTTTGTGTTTTTAGTTTAAAATCTAAATTATAATTGAATGTTATGATTAATCTTTATAAGCTAGTCATTTTAATTACTTGTTACCGTTGATATTTAAATTTTAATTGAGCGGAGCGAGCAAAGCTCTTATACGTCGACTCTTATGCATTTCGTAATACGCAAACTCCTCCTAGACGGCTGAATCAATCGTTTTCAAATTTTGCATGGTGATAAAGACCATATCGGTGAGTGCCAACATCTACATGGCGTTAAAAAAGTCTCTCAGGAATCCGCCCCACTGGGTCTCAAAGTTTCAATGTAATCCTTATGGAAGCAGTATTTGACACATAAACAAAGACATATGATCAGCTGTTGACTAAAGAAATAGCTGATAGCATTATTCCACAGATATTAGAACAGAAACAGTATGAATCATAAATATAATCAAGTGACGACACTAGCTTGAGGTCCGTTACGTAGGAAGTGGTAAAGGAAGTAGTAAAGGTGAGCAGTCTAGATTGTGGAAACTGTTATGAAGATTAGATTAAGGTATCTGCAATCCTAAAATTCTATGAGAAGGGAGGAAAGCAGGTCCGCGACGTAGGAAGTGTCAGACGTGACCAATTAACATGGTTGAGGTCTCAAATTTAAGGTATGCACACAGATTTGCCACCAAGCATCGGCATGTATTTATTTATAATACCACTCAGGTTATACGTAAACTAAATTTGCTCTCCATGTATTTCTTATGGGAGTTAGGTTTGGATTCTCTTTGCTGAGTTCGTTTGGCTCTTCTACCTGAACGATCTTCATGATTGAGGTCTCAAATTGAAGGTACACACGCACAGATTTGCCATCAAGTATCGGCATATAATTATCTCCAGTATCGGTCGGTTTATATTTAAACGAAAATTGCTCCCCATGTATTTCTTAGGGGAGTTAAATTTGGTTTCTCTTTGCCGAGTTCGTTTTGCTCTTCTACCCGACCGATTTTCCTGATTGATGTCTCAAATTGAAGGTATGCACACACAGATTTACCATCAAGCATCGACATGTATTTATCTATAATCTCACTCAGGTTATACGTAAACAAAATTTGCTCTCCATGTATTTCTTATGAAAGTTAAATTTTGTTTCTCTTTTCCCAGTTCGTTTGGCTCTAAGGCCCGACCGATTTTCATGATTGAGGTCTTAATTGAAAGTATGCACGCACAGATTTGCCAGCAAGCGTCGGCATATATTTATCTATAATCCCTCTCGGCTTAGACGTAAACAAAATTTGCTCACCATGTATTTCTTATGGGAGTTAGATTTGGTTTTTCTTTGCTGAGTTTGTTTAGCTATTCTACCTGACCGATTTTCATGATTGAGGTCTCAAATTGAAGGTATGCAAGCACAAATTTTCCATCAAGCATCAGCATACACAGATTCCACATCAAGCGTCGGCATATATTTATCTATAATCCCTCTTGGCTTAGACGTAAACAAAATTTGCTCACCATGTATTTCTTATGGGAGTTAGATTTGGTTTTTCTTTGCTGAGTTCGTTTAGCTATTCTACCCGACCGATTTTCACGATTGAGGTCTCAAATTGAAGGTATGCAAGCACAAATTTGCCATCAAGCATCAGCATACACAGATTTCACATCAAGCGTCGACATTTATTTATATATAATCCCATTTGGCTTATACATAAATGATATTTCCTTCCCATGCATTTGTTACGGGAGTTAAATTTGGTTTTTCTTTTCCAAGTTCGTTTGGCTCTTCTATCTGATAGATTTTCATGATTGAGGTCTCAAATTGAAGTCATGCACGCAAAAGATTTCACATCAAGCTTCGGTATATACTTACTTACCTACTGTATTATTCGACTAAAAAAACAATTTGATTAAATTTCTAATTCTTACATCAATTTAAGATGTATTTCACCATTTATAATTATATAATCCTATATATTTTGGTCTAAGATCTTTCAGTGAAATATCGGCTTTTATTTAAGCAATTAAGATACTGTATTACTCAATCAAACATCATAAATTAAATTTTTTCTCAGAAATATTATATCTATTTTAACTCTGCGGAGCAGCATGGGTCCTCTACGTGTTTATGTTAATGTGATCAAGATTCCTTTCTTTAAAATATTTGTTTCTCATTAATTTAAAAGTTTTTCTCATAATTCACCTAGAGAAAGAACGCCTTGGACAAGTAGGTATCAATAAAGGCCTGGAGGCTCAACAGTTAGTAGGACTGCTGTGGGTGGACACGGTCATACCGATGATGGCGGAGGGTGAGGACAATTGGACCTGTGTGTCACATTACATCCAGGGTATTCTCCGCACCAAGAAGCTCGACCTTGACCGGGATGCAGTGTAGGTCATAAAGAATCTAAATGCTAGAAATGGCGAGAGCCCTGAGGGCTTAGGTGACATGTTTGCCTGATTTGAAATAATGTGACAAACAATTCTAGGTCTGTGTCCAACAGAGTAGAGGGGTTTTTTAGTGAGTAGTCCGTGATAAATTCAGGAGTCTCACACTACTGGCTGGCTACCTGTGTGCGTAAAAAGATTTTCCATCCTCTCCCTAAAAAAAGCTTCCTTTATTAAATTTCTGGTACACCCACCAAGTTATGAACAGTTTAGGTAGTTTGATGAGTTTTCTAAAGTCAGTTGTGTTTGTAAAACAAAACATGACTTTTTTACTTATTATCCTCAATTAATCTAATTCAGGCCTTAATCCAAGAATAAATTATTGCCTCTTGCCTCTTGATGATCTTAAAAATATTCATGACTCAAATCAAGGGAAAAAGTCATTCTTTAATGGATGATAAAAAAGTCAGAGTTATCCACGTCTCTTCTTAAATATTAATTATGGATAACAAGAATCCTAACCGAATGACATAAACTTCAACTTCTACAACAGATCGTTATATCACACCTCTGGTTTTATCATGCCGACATGGAAGCAGACCAAAATACAAAGTAAAGCTCTAACTATATCCAGTTCCAATTAATTTGTAAGTCTTATTGATTTAGGTAGGTCTAATAAAACAATTAATAATGTATAAACATGAGTATAATATCTTATTCAGTAACAAATTTTAGAAGAGAAATAAAAACTATAACTAAATGGAAACAATACAAATTCCAACCATGAAATATACTCTTTGATTTCATCTAGACATTTTAATAATGTGTTAACGTTTCTATCCATGATGATTTAAAATTAATAAACGTTATGTGCTCAGCAACTTTAAAATGTAAAGTTAACAGCAGGAAAAATATAGCGTATATTGTGAGAGTCGATGAAAAGTACAAATGTATGAAATAGTAAGGCTACAATATTTCCCTTATTTTTTGGGAAGTGCAATATCTCATAAGCAATTGATTTGTACAGAATTTAGTTTTCTGTCAATTCTAGAAAAGATTTTAAAGAGGTTCTACAAATATCAACAATATTGGCTGGTCAAATACAGTACTACGTGTTCTTTGATTAAGCGTGTGCCCAAAATAGGCTAAATTTGTATCATTAACATGTTTTAAACAGGCAACATAACAAAGCTTCTTATCATACAGTGTTCACATATGATGGAACTATGACTTTGAATGAGGATATCTTACTTTAATGGCAATGACATCAATAAAATGTTTCATTAACATTGTTAGAAATGCTTTAGTGTTTAGTTCCTTTAGCTTTGTTAACCATTAAACATGAAAAAGTTAGTAAATTATATCAATTTGTTTTCATTTTACCATTTTAGCCATAAACTTTAATAATGACTTGTGACTATTTGATTTTCTAAGGAATTTTATATCTTTATCTTAGCCGAAATATTTTTAACGCTCCTGCAGTAATTATTTTACAGCTGTTAGAAACTGCTGGGATGAACAAACATTGGATTACATCTGCTAAAATTTCTCACGGTTCAGAGGGTATTTTTTTTTTTAATTTTACTTCAACGCGTTGTTTTCTAAAAGGCGATTGATTTATCCTGTATTTCATTAATTTTACTTTAAAATTAAATAAATTGTTGGTAAAACATTAAATACATTATTGAAATGCTGAAGAAATATGGCAAAGATAACTCCCTAGTTTAAGACAAAGCCAGCTTTGTCAGTTGCAAGTAATTATTCAGCGTACGGACCATAATAGACTAATTAAATCTCAACATTTTAAATAACCTCTTTTTTATTTGACTAATCATTATTTTATGGATTGGCAACAAGTTAATCTATCTCGATTTATGAGCATCAATGGTCAAAAAAATATACAAACCGATAAAATACTACAGTGGATGAAAAATAGAATTTTATTTTACACTTAAAACTATTGATGAGTGATCGATCGAATGATTATTTATTTGAAACAAGACACAAAGGTGAAGCAATGATACAATATATACATCTTACGAGTTTAGAACATTCAACATTTGTCTTTTGTTAGGGTTTGCTAACGAGTGAGGTGTAGCTATAATACAGCTAATGGAGCGAACCACTTTTAAATCGTATTGAGAAAAATTAAAAGTGAAAATATCACTTCCATAGGCATTGCGGGTGGAAAAGTAGCATAACGTGAATATACTCTACAATGGCAGAAAAGCCTAACTTTGTACTAGGATTTAATAGTAAATTATAAAATTTTAAGCGTATTTCTATGCTAAAATCTCAAACGGAACTAGATTAACGGTAAGTGTATGAATCTTTACGGCGTTGGGACTACTCGGGATTTTTACTTTTAAAAGTGCTTCGTTATTACAAATTCAATTTTACGAATATAAACATTTATAAACAGCAGAATAAAATCTACAAAGCTCGATTTCAACAACAGTGCATGTAATTAAACAACAGTTTGAATCATTTTCATTAACCCACAACTTAAATTGTAAATCACTTGCACATTATAACATACATTTATCAACAAATAAGTTCACTTGTGTTAAAACTCAGTAATAACAAATCTAATTCGACCAACAAATTAACTCACAAACATATACACTTTCAAGAGGTGATATTTCTTAAATACTTACCGGTAGTGTAATTAAATTAGTATTTTTTTTAGATTTTAGAAAAGTTAGCACCTTACAGCATCTACTTAAACTTAATATAACCTAATGTTTGATCCACAATTACTAATGAATAATTAAAGCCTAAAACTCCGAGGTATAAAAAATCTTGTTCTTATAATCTCATTTGTTCTTCAAAATGTTTCCGTATAACTTACAAAACTGAACCTGGAATCTATTATAATTAGTGGCACATTTAAGTTGAAAAGGAGCTTAGTAACTAAAGCACCTCCTCAATAAATAAGCAATGCTTACATTGATCTGAATTTCAGTATTATAGATTTTCTCTCAACAGTATTTAAAAAATTATGTAAAGAAAATCTTTTGGTGATCCCCATACACTATCTTAAACCTACACTAACACCTGGTTTACACTAACCTCTGTCTTTATCACGTGTGGGTCTTATCTAATATGCCTCTTTTAAAATTACCAACTAATTTCTTTATAATTTTGATACTCATAGCATTACTTTGAGTGTGTGAGAGAGTCCTGTAATCGCTCTTGGACAATAATTCGTCACATAGCATGTTGATTAGAATACTAATGTTAAAGTAATAACTTGTAATAGTTTCGAATTTGAAATTTTTTTTTACATTACTAGAGCGTGAAAATTGACTTTTATTTACTTAGAATTAGCGTTGTTATACATATCTGAGTGTAAAGGCTGGGAAGAAACGTGTTAAATAAATTTCTCTCTCCAAAGAAAATATAATTATGGATGTGCCACTAATCATACATGTAGACATTCGAGAATAATACTCAAAAAACTCCAATAAACTCAAAACTAAAATTTATGGAAATTCAATCACAAAATAAAAACTCAAAACATGCTCAATTTATTTTATTTACGCTCACCATAAACTTGAAAGTTAAACAAAATCCCAAAACCTGAGGAAATAGAAATGTTGATTGTTGGTGAAGGCAATATGTCTAAGGTACCTTAGGCCTTAAAACAAATAACAATTACAACCTTAAGCGTGTATGAGGACGAGCGAAATTTGACGGTTTGTGTCTCACATAAGATACATCAGAACACTTCGAATCGAGTGAATTTCAATGGTGATCCTAAACAGGTCGGACCGATTCTGATAAAAAATTGTGCAATATCGAATGTAAAAAATGTAAAACAATCTGTACATTGTGTGTTTTGCAAAACGATTTACAAAAGGAATGTTCGTTTCGAAAATGGTGTTCTAGTATCTATTTGACAGCTTCTCGAGGTGGATGAGTAGATTCACAAGGCACTGTCCCACAAACGTCACCTTCGCCCGAACTCACACTCACAAAGCGCTTTCTTGGAAAGTCCGTTAACAATCGTAACAACTCTACACTTTACACTTGTGTCTATGGTTTGACTGTTTCTGTAGTGCTCTCGCTTCCCTTTGCGTCATCCTTTCCTAACGTCGAGGGTGGGAGGGGGGGGGGACAGCACATAGGCTGTATATGTTAGTAAAAAAATATAAGCCTTGTCTTGCCATTAAATTATCACAGATATTTTAGTGTGATATTTTTTAAACTGGTAATTTTGCATTCAGGTACCGGTAGATGATTAAGTTAATGATTCAATTCAATTGAAAGTTAAATGGTTAAAATAGTTAAATATTTTTGATCGTGCTTGAAAATGTGAACTGCCTTGATGTGCACATGCAATCTTAATATGTACCAATTAATTCAGTGTTTTAGTTGGGCTGTGGTTCAAAATATATGCAGTATATGTAACGACAATTTTAGAGACCTTGGTTCCAAAAACTATTTAAACTAATTAAAAGGTTCACAGCCTGTGATCAAATAACAGGCAACCAAATAATCATGATCTGAGCCTAAAAGCAAAAATCAATAGATAAATAATTAATAATTATTATTAAGTAATAATATAAATAATTAAATAATTTAGTCTTTAAATTTGTGATTTGGTTAGGTTACTTTTAAGGCTCTTGCAAAACTACATAACCTTAAGGAGAAATTTTAAAGACGATACAAAAGTTGACAGGGAGGGGGAGGGATGACGCGGAATGGTGGGACCGTGGCGACGGGTCGTCTAGATGTAAGAGTACGGTCCGTCAGTGAGAGCACTACACAGCAACAGTCAGGAGTTCTCCTCCTTGCCTCGGTTACTGGCTGGCTTGTACTCAAGGCCGGGGTCAAACTGCATAAGCACAAATACCTGCGCAAACAAAACTTACGATTATAAAACAGAATATAATTACAGCTTTTGGTCATGCATTGGTTGCGCCAAAGGGTTCCTTAATTGCGCCAAGCGCTCAAAGGGTCCCAAAAAACAATTCAGGAATACCCGACTACCTGACTCAGATCATTGACCGAGTTTTGAGAATATATTGATGTTTGGTTCAAATTTACAGCAATGTCTCGATTCTCATTAGCAACTGAAAAGTGAATTAGTTGTGTCTTTGACACATTCATAGATAGACCATTTGCTGTGAACCAGTCCCCGAGGAGTTGAAACTCATTAGTAATTAAGTCTTGTTTAAAATCCAATGTTTTTTGTTCGGTGCAGATTAAAGCAGTATCATCAGCATATTGAAAAGGTCACACAGCACACATATTGTGCGCTGCGACCCGTCCAAGGCCTCCGCAATGCAGTTAATCATCCTGGTAATAGCCTTTTTCAGTACTGGATTTTGAGGGGAAACCAAACTGAGATGGATTTAGTAAATTATTTTTTTCTAAATAATCTGAAAGTTGATTTTTCACAATTTTTTCAAAAACTTTGGAAAAACAAGGCAAAAGAGCAACTGGTTGTTAGTCAGAAGGATTGTTGACATCACCCTTTTTAAAAAGAGGTTTTATCTCTGCATATTTGAGTTTTTCTGGGAATATTCCTTCCTTGAGGGACTGATTCACTAGTATGCATAGAGGTTGTTCAATAAGTTTAAAAACTCTACTAATAACAAAGAGGGGAATTTCATCCCAACCTGAAGATTTAGTATTGCTAAGACTGGTGAAAGCTTTTCTTAGGTCCTGAAAAAATCTGTAGTCCTGAATCTACCTGAATTTGTAGTCATGGACTACAAAATGTTTACGATGTTTCTCATGAAACATATGTTTCTTATTGTGTTTTGTAATATTAGTACTTGAGATTTGAGATTTAGGATTTGGATTCGAGGATTAAGATTCCTGGATTTTACCAGCAACAAATGAAAACCAAAAACCAAAATTGGGTTCTAAATTGTCTATTTAGAATGCAAAACCTGTATTTTCGCCAAATTAATATTGATCAATTTGATTGTCATTGTCGTATTTGATTTCACCAATTAAATTTTATCACAAACTTAGAATTTATAATATAAAATAGACCTGCAACTACAATTTTTATTGAAATGTATAATTAAATTTACAAGTTCAACAAGGCCAACATATAATTATTTTATTTTATTCTTTAGCTCTTTCAGAAACTAGGTTTCCATCTTCAGGCACTAGTACACTAATTGGCCTTGTTGAACTTGTAAATTTAATTATACATTTCATTATTAATTGCCAATATCTCCAATATAAGATAAAAATTTTTAAATTTTTTCATTAAGACTAGTGTTTTAGTCAAATCTACTTTTAAGAAATTCGTAGATGCAGTATATTGCAATCCAATTGATTTTTTTAAATGTGTTAGTTTAAGCAAAGTTTTTTCTCTAGTTTTTTTTTTTCTACAGCTTAAAGCTTAAAGCTCAATAAATCAATGAGTCTATTCATGAAAAAGCTTTGAAATAGGCCTATATATCACAAATTAGATTTTTACCCAATAATATTTTCTCCTTATTAACGTTGCAAAACAATTTAATTTAGTAATGAGAGAAGAAGTTTAGTAGTGTTTTCAGGAAATTACTTTAGTGTAAAAGTAATAATTAGTTTTAGATCATCATAAAAATTTAAATCTCTTGTTTAAGACAAAAGTACTATGTAGGAAAAAAAACAAGTAAAAAAACTACTACGCTTTTATTTTTTTACAAACTTGTAACCTATAATCTTTTTATAATCTTAAAGGTTGGAGTGTACATATTTTGTTGTACATATTTCTTCTTTAATTGATTTCTGAAATGGTTATGTACATTTAAATTATTGACAAAGCTGGTACTAATTATAATTGATTATTAGATAAGTTAATATTTGTAACAAATATTATTTTACTGCTAACAACACGTACTATTACCATGCTTTAGATCCAATGAGTTATTTACGTTGATTCATTAAACATACAGCAGTTATTTTACATAGACAAAATTTACTCAAACTTGTATCCGTTTTATTGTATCGCCCATTTAATTAATGTTTAATTAGGTTTTAATCGGTAAAAATTTGTCAAATGTATTAATTTTCTATAATTTGGTATTCAAAATAATGTCACTCCTACGTTTCGTGACAGAGCATAGAAAATCAACAAATAATTAATAATTTATGTTGTTATGCATATAAACTTTATGAGCATATAACGTTAATATTTTTAATGCCACATGCCTCTTAGCAAATGCATAACTACATCAGGCGCTAACCTATTTTCTCGACTACAAAACATAAAAATTGAATTACACTAACTACAAATGTCAAGTCAATCAATCATTTGCGTAGGAATAACATCAAATTTATCTTTTCCCAACAAACATTTCAATGATAGTAGTGTTCCATAACATACAAGGTCCTAGATTTGAAGGATTGCCTAAAAAGGAAGGAACACAGCTGGTACAAGAAACACCAACACGCAATATTTAGAATATTTCATATCAATTAAAGAATTTTCAACTAAGAAAGGTTATATATGGGGAGCAACTGTCTTCCGGTTCCCTGTAACTGAATGTGAAATATTTTAATAGTATTTTCTAGAGCACATTGTTTGTGGTGTTTATTCGTTTATTATGCCAGGATGGACTATTTTCCAATCTGGTAAGCCTGCTATCTTATCAACCCTTGAAACATTTCTATGTTAGTGAGTGAGGGATAAGTTTTAGTGTATTGGATTTTGTAGGTTAATGGTTAATATTAGAAATGAGAAAATTAGTTATCATAAGAAAAGAACAAAGATAACAGATTATTAGGGTTGTTAGTATTGCTGAATAACATGTCTTAAGGATTGTCCATAGACTACAATTTCTCATGCAGTGGATTTCAGTTATTTTCCTATTTTATATTTTACCAAAGTAATTTAAAAAGGTGGAAAAACATTACTATCAATAATAACTTATCAATAATACTATCAGTAATCTTTGTGATAATTTTATTTTACTTATTATTTTTTGTATAAATCCATTTTGTTGTTTTACAAATTGTATTATAAAGTTAGCCAATATAAGAGAGGCTGTAATAACAATGCTGATAATTTAATGCTGAAACTCACAATATGGTCTCAGTTTAATATGAAATTTGGAGGGTTATCGTCAATTTTTTTGTGACTAATCCAAGCACAAATGATTATTCTTAGATATTTCTTAGGTACATTAAGTTTTAGCAATAAACAAAAATATTTATTATGATAATTTATAATAGGCCTACTGGCAATATGAATCAAGGTTTATTAAAAAACAATGCAATTTATGGACAATCCTTTCCATGCTTAAAACCAATATGAAATATACTTGAGCAATATGGTTGCTTCAGTTTTGTGTCGAACGGCAGCAAAACAAAGGCCTGAAAAATTGAAATTTAATCTTAAATACTTAAGTGCCATAAATATAGGTACAAAATCATAAGCATATGGCAAATATCAACTACGGTAGGCCTACTAACTTTCTTCAAAAATAAGTGTGAGTACAAAATAATTATTTCAGCTTTAGCAATATAAATTTAAACAGTTTCAAGGTACTCACAGATCCTATAAAGTTAAGAATATTGTACCATTTGTGGTGAATCGATTGTTTATGAATTTTATAGTAATTAACATTCAGTTTGAGTATATTAATTAAATTTAATTTCCTAGAGGGTCTACATTATAAAAAAATATATATGACGTGTAAAAAAAACTAGCAGATTTTCGCTACAACTCTACATAGCTATAATTGATTTTGGGCTACAAGAAGCAAAATTCAGAACCTACAAAGATATACAAAAAGAAAAATAGAGGCTAGCAATGCTAAACTACTTAAAGCACCTCTTATAACATTACTTTTCCCTCTAAAACTGCAGCAGACCTGCATAGTTAGTGAATTTTAATGCATCCCAGAATAATGAATGGCGATTTAACTTGTTTTGGTAAAAAGAAAATAAGTTTGACATTGCAAGATTTTTCTTAGTTGAAAATTAACAAAAAACATAAGTTAATTCATAAAATCCAGTTTGAAAACATAGAAAGGTTTTTATCTGCACTTCTCAGTTGTCATGACTAGTGGATACAGTTAATCAATCATTTGTATATTTTTTGTTAGAGAGTTTTAAGCTTAGTAATTTTTAAACGACCCACACAGTTGTATGTTTCTATATTATGTAAAAAAATTATGAATGAATTTGAACTGTTATGGAAGTGATGTAATAAGATATATATACTTAGGCTATACTTTTTTGATAAAATTATATAAACAGTCACTTTTCCATACATTTTATGGTTGAGAAGATGAATGTAAAATTTTAAAAATGATGTGGTCATATACAAAATTTGAGTGTTTTAGACCTACTTTTGTAGCCTACAAAGCTTCATTTCAATTACCGGTAAATAAGTGTTTGAGATAAAAATCTAGTAGGGTTTTGTAATATATTTTGATTGATAGGTATTTTATAAAAAAGCTATTAGGTACTACTACAGCATTAGTAAAATAAAATGTTACAAAATATGTAAATAGAATAAGGTTATACAAAATACAACTGTTAGGAGCTTTATACAAAATCAAAACTGGCACTACGGTACTAAAAACAGAAAAACTATGCTACTGGGGAAACACAAAATGCAACTGTTTTCTACTGGTAAAAATTAAAAGGTGTATAAATTGTTAAAGGGCATATTCAAAAAGCGAAGGCAGAAACCATATTGCTAGAACCGAAAAAAATTTTACAATATTTAATTTTTATTTATTTATTTACTTAGTCTATTCTATAAGTTAAAATAAATGTGACAGAATAGAGTACAAATAACCTAATATGTCTCAGTGCTGTGACATGTAAAAAAAAAACAATCTTACAATTATTTGCACAAAATTATACCAGTAACTGTTTTAAATTCCCAAAACTTACTTATAGAATTTATAAAAATATAAAAGGCATGAAATATTACCTGATCTGTTGGTAATAGTGAAAAATCATCAGGTGGGTTTGTAATCACATATCGCTTTGATGAAGCATCACACGATGAACTTGTATCACGAAACCTTCAACAGAACAAATGAATCATTAAAATTATTCACAACCAATTGAATCTGCAGAGAGATATATAATCAATCGCCCTAGATTAAATAACTCCCTCACAGACAGACCATGCTTACGGACCAGCAGAAGAAAATTTTAAGGCATATTTTTTTAATATTGCTTGAGTTTATTGATCTGTTCTTTTTTATGTCATGTAATTTTATAACTTAAAAAATATTTTTATAGACTATTATTTTTCCTCTGCTAGTACCTACCAAAGATCTCACTTGCAACTGGAAATGTGTATAAGGGTAGTGTTAAGGAGGTATTGACTTTTTTTTAAGTCATGAGTAAGGAGATTGATGTAGTTAGTAAAAGAGTAAGGTGAGTTCTCAGGTATTGATATTTATTTAACAAGGAGTAAGGGTTAGTAGGTAGGTTTTATTCCTTAAAAAGACTTGATTTTCTCACTTAAATGTGTTTATTTTATACCCTCCACCTTAGATGAAAATGTTTTGCAATCCCTATTTATTCAAGTTCTTGAACGTGAAATACATTCTCAAGCAAACTTATTTTTGGCCATTTATGTGAAAATACTATTTTGCCAAGTGAACAAATAATTTGTTTATCAAGCACATGTATGAAACTGCCAATGTTGGAAGAGGCTAAACAAGATATGTTTGATGTATATCGACTAAAGATTATAAGCAGGCTGATCACTGACCTATACAGTCCGATGCATAGCATCCCATAAGTCTTGAGTGCCGCAACAAACAAGTCCCCGTACTTGCCAGCCTCACCGAACTGCGCCAGGGGTCCGTCGTACAGTGAGATCTGACCTACTCTGCAACGGTCTCGGTTCGACAAACTGTCTGACGTGCTGGAAAACAAACGTTAATATAATATTCATCCTCACAAGGGTTTGAACAATGAGTTTATATAACTTACACCTTTGCAGACCCAACATTGAAAAGAGAAACAATCTTTTCACAGGTTAGCAGCCTTTTATAATCTTGCTCATCCTTTGGCCTGTTCTTAAAGAAAGGGGTGGGACAGTCCGAAAGGTAAATAGAACTAGCAAGCTAACTGCACTGATAAACAATAGAAATCTAAATAACACATGAATCACAGTATAAAATGTGTCGTTTGAGCAATAACCAAATCAAATCCAGAACTGATCATAATAATTGTAACTATTGTGTATTAATTATTAATATCTTACAAGATACCAAAGATGGTATGATATATTGTTTGAAAATATGTAAAAAGACTTTTCTTCTAATCACTTTTGTTAAATTTATTAAGTTATGGAAACACTATATGGCCACACTGTATTACACGTTCATGTATTAAGCCCAGAGACTTGAAAAATGTCATTAAAATATTTTAGAATGCTGTAGCACTTGATGTAAATTGAGGTATACCTGTAACCGCCTCTCAGACCAGCTCCTTCTGCAAGAATCAGCTCCAGCTCAGGAGTCGCTCCTCCCGTGATGAGCGACCGAATCAGCGTCAGCGCATTTTGATTGAAATATGTCTGTAAACCAACAAGATTTTTAAGCAATTACCAACCTACTGGTAGGCAATTAGTAATACTAATCTTTAAAACAAGCCTTCATTTAAATGACTTTGTTACAATATTGAAGAACGTGTATTGAAATGTACAATTTAAAAATTAAAATGACTGTTATGATGACATTAAAATCAAGAGCAATAATTTATAAAAGTATTAACAGTTGAATTTATGTAGAATTATTTTAAATTAAAATTAAATTAAAGTAAAATTAAGTTATTAGCGATTATGTAAAATTATCTAGTCCAAACACTAACAGCAAGTTTTCATTACTTTATTACATTATGTGCAAACAAGGAAAACCCTAGTTTCTTTTTGTAACTTGAACCACTTGAACATACCAGAATCTGTAACTGGCAAAATTATCCTTAAAATAATTTATCATACAATGAACAAAAGTTTACCGTTGACATGAGCGAGTCGAGCACACTGACAGCAAAGGCTGTGCCGCAAGCGAAGGGTTGCGTCAGGTACAACTCGGTATCAGGGTCGTCGTCGTCGTCCTGATCCAGAAACTGAACATTGCTGTCGTTCACCAACTCTGCAACCCAAAACCATCATGTTGATATTGAAAATTTTGTTGCCCCACTACACAGTAACAAACTGGTTTATGTACTCTTTGTTAAGCGGAAAACCGTTGTTTACCGAAAGGGTTTGGTGATATCAATTGAATACAGTAAATACAATAAATTTACCACACTGTTGCATATAGGCAATGTTGTATGAGTTGTTACAATTCTATTTTGAGGTGGTGGCTAAAACCAGACCTTTAGTTGTCTAGTGTATAACCATAGGCATAGCAAGGAAAACCTCAATCAAGGCAAGGGGACAGGTTGAGCGTGAAAATTTAAATCTAGACGTGAACCCTGGAAGGATATCCCACATGTCTGAACTGAGTGAGAACTACCCGGAAACTTAGCCCTGTATAGCAAGTGGTACTTGAACCTGGCACATTATCCTGGCATACAGTGTGGAAAAGAACTTCACATTAATGCAAATTTATTTATTTTATACTAAGCTACAAGCATTTTAACAAAAAATAAATTGATTGACAACACTTCTTCACAGTCCTTAAATTATGTGTTTGTATTAATGATTAGAGGTAAGTGATGTCAATTGTGTGGGAAAAATAAAGAGTAATTTACTGTCACCTCTTAAGATTGTGCCATGCGCACAATCTTATATCACTTTTATATATATATATATATATATATATATACTCAGCGCGCGAGCAATAACTTACTGGCCGAAGCGTATCAGCTGCCAACAGCAATAGAGGTAAAAAAGACGAGCATATGACAAATCTGTCTCGTTCGCCTTTGCTTGGACTGGACATGGCCGAAAACTTTGCTGACAGCTCCAAATTAAACATAAGTATTAGTATCTAAGTAATTGCATTAATTATCAGCGAATCCAAATTCAAATCATGAAATAAATAGTTTAAGTTCAGTTAGGGGTTGCCGGGGAGAAACTAGGGGCATTAGGATGTAGGTTTTCCAATTTAAAATGTTGGTCTTCTCCTTTACAGAAGCTGACATCAGCTTATCAAAACAAAGTCTAAATTCACATGGTTCTAAATTGTTCAATAATTATGTGCTGTCAATTTGATTAATTCATTGATAAATTACCTTACTTCTATCAGTTTCCATTTTACACTGTTAGTTCATTAATTTGTAATCTTGTAAATGCAATTCTTACATATTCAGGTAGTGGGTTAGTTATAAGATTTACTTGTTACGAGTATAAATTACTAAAATCACAGCTCATCAAAAGCTGGCTTAAGGTGTTAACGGCAATGGGCACGATCAACCTCAGGGTAAAACCTTTCTTTTAAAATAGACAGTTAACCGTCCTTCCTAATTTCTCCACCTCATAGTTATTATTAGTTTATATTTCCATATCCCAATCCTCACGCATCTATATCATTCTTCCATTAACTTATTCCACAGACATGTTCAACCAATTCAATTAGTATCACCCAGTCACACAGATTCTCAACATAATTGTTACAAATTAGTAGCAGAGCGTGGTTACGATCCTTGGACCTCTGGGTTATGGGCCCAGCAGAGACGGATTTATACATATTTCGCCCCTAGGCACTATTCTTGGTGCCGCCCCCTTCATAGTATATTTCGTACCTAGGACCGAAAATGAGGTTTTGCCGGCTCAAGATAGTTTTTTAAGTTCAAGACGAAGTCAAGAGTTGCAAAACCCTTTCGGCCCGTGGTACGAACGCCATTTTTCACCACACTATACAAAATTGAGGGTCATAAGTTGTCATTTTCACGCAATAAATGCACAATATTATAACATAATATAACAGTTAACACAACTACAACTTAGAGGTTATGTGAAGAAATAATATAGAGGAACCAGCAAAAATACTAAAAATAGTTGCGAGGTAGCGGTGACATAAAATGCATATGGATATTGCTTGTATATTTTATTTACATTGATGTTTTAATTAAGTAAGCGAACAACTGGTTTTGTGACCCTAGGGCCGTAAAAACCAAATTGGCCTCCAATGACGATGACAGCAGTGACGTAGCCAGGATTTCAAAATAGGGGGGGGGGGGTCGACCGACCGGGGAGTCTGGGAGGTATTCCATAACCCCCAGGTAAAATGGGGGTCCGGGATGAGTTTTAAAAATATAGGCCCTAAAACGGTATTTTTTGGCTCTTTTGGCATTGAAAATAATCAACCCCAACGTCAATACAGTATAATTATAAAATTTTACATTTAATTTAACAAAAATATATTATATTTAAGACCGGAAGGGGGGGGTCCGGACATTCGTAAGCGGCGGCACCCACAAGCGCCGGCACTCGTAACCGGCGGCACTCATAACCGGCGGCACTCGTAAGCGGCGGCACACGTAAGCGGCGGCACCCACAAGCGCCGGCACTCTTAACCGGCGGCACTGGTAAGCGGCGGCACCCGTCAAGGGCCTGCCGCCCATGACGGGTGCCGCCCCTAGGCACTGGCCTAATGTGCCTAGTGGGAAATCCGTTCCTGGGGCCCAGCACGCTTCCATACCACTCTTCCATAATCTTATTCCACAGACATGTTCAACCAATTCAATTAGTATCACCCAGTCACACAGATTCTCTACATAATTGTTACAAGATTAATTGTTGTAACTTAATTTAATATGAAACTTCTAATAACCAAAATTTGCTGAAAATAACGAGAGAATTGCTCTTGTACATCACAAATAGACTTTTCCAAATGAACATGATTCCGGTGAACCAAAAAAGTACTTAACATCACCATGGATAAATTAATCAAACTAATGTCTTCCGTGTACTTTACAAATAGGTATGTTGACTTTATGAACACTTTACCGGTGATCATAGGAACATTGGCCCCGTACACAGATCCTCGCCTCTGTAGTACGATGGGGCCGCCACCAGGGGTGAAGTTCTCGTGTTCGTTACGAGCACTGACCACACCCGAGTCATCTGAAACATGGAAATCTGAGTTAAAGACTGTGGAAAGATGAAAAGTTCCAAACACTAACAATGCACTATACCAATTTCATGTTGATTCTAGTATAAATATTTTAGACATTAGTCAAAACTATAACCTATCACTCAAGATTGGGTAGATACTAGATAGTGGAAGGCTCTAATCTTGAGGAGGTTGTTGTTGGTAACATTTTTTGCAGAGTCAATTCCACTTGTATACACCTTTTCACATACATGTACTCCCATCCTATAACATTACTGGAAATATCATGCTAAATGGCATGCAAATTGCGACCTTGCAATTTATACTTTTTAAAGATAGGTATTTCGACTTAAGAGTTGGATTTTGACAAAGGTACTTAAGGTTAAAGAAGTAAATACAACACAGTGTTTTCTTTTACAAGCTACCCAATACGAGGCTACATACCTTGGCTTAGAACACCGATGGTATCGTCAAACGTCATTGCTTTGATGTTGAGAGATGCCAAGATGGCCTCTTTGTCAGCCAAGGTGGGGTCGTCGTTGCTAGGCACCTTTGCAGACAAGATGACGCACATATCACACAGGTTTACATTCACCGCTCGCAAGTCCGCTCTACTGAGAGGTGAACCCTGTCAAAATACAAAATTAAGTGGTTAAGTTTTCTCAAACATTATGTAAGATATCTTGTGCAAGGGGAGCCGAACATTTAAGAGTTAGCCTCACATTCAATTTGAAGCCGAGGACGGGAATAATTCAAGCAAGTGTTGGAATATTGGAAAATTACTTTTGGTACAAGTTATGAACAATACTTTTTATCACGACGAAAACATACTCATACATAAAAACGGATTTTAGTAAATTTAAATTATTATTTTCTAAAACTTTTTTTAATCATGTAAAAATACAGCATATAGGTTCAAGAAAACCTTCCTGACAATATTCAAATTCTAGTTTATTTTTGAAGGAAAGGCTCTAGGCCAGGATTTTAAATTGTAGAAAAAGGAGGATAGCAGCTAGCTTACCTTGAAAGTGTGGGTATAGGCCATAGAACAAGTAGAAAAACACTATGCACACAATATTTCGTCCCCTAAGGGACTTTGTCAAGCTGCTGTGTTGTTGCTGCTGTCATGGCTGTTCAGCAGCCATTTTGTAACTCTTTCTCTACACTTGACAAAGTCCCTTATGGGACGAAAAATTGTGTGCAGAGTGTTTTTCTACTTGTTCTATGGCCTACCCATATCTAAAATCATTACCGTACAATTAGCAGAGACAATATTCTCTCAAAGGAGAAGATTTTGTGAAAAACCCAATAACACTGTTCATTGGTGGAATTAGATAAATCATGTCTATGATCGCTAGGTTTCACTCACATTAAGCACTGATATCTTGGGTAGATTCTGCAGCATCTTCCACTCCCGACGGATGTAGTCAACAGCTCCGACGATGACTACATGCTTCAGCTCGTGATAATGGAAGTTGCTAGCTCGCAACGGCATCACAAGATTTCTAAGACCTGTTGAAAAATTCTTGTTGAAAAGTGTTGTTGTTGTTGTGCTGATACTAGTTGGAGAAGTAGAATTTCACATTAAAAAAGACCACACATGCAAGATAACATAAATTCCTGATAGTGTATTTTATGCAAGGAACACGGCTCTTGTATTCATGAATTTATTCATTGTACAGTATTTAAGATGATTACTCTCATAAAATATTCCAATCAAATTTGAATTATGTGAGCAAACATACATGTTGACAACAATAAGTTTACAAACCAGTCTGATCAGAAAGTTATGGGAAAGAGGGTTTCCAAGGTAGGGGGATGTGGCACACTATACTTTCCAAAATTCAAAAGGGTTTATTATTTACTAATTGCATTATTATTTTTTTGGCTAGTGGTTGAGATATTGAAAGTGATGATTCCAGCAAGTCTTCACTTCTTTCTTTTATCCTTATAGAAACTATTGTAAGATCTATACTTCTTTACAGCAAAATTCTAGCAATAACTTTACAATATTCTTCCTTACCTATAAGGGGTGAATCTGGATCGGCAAACAGGCAAACCACAACATGGCCATTCAAAACTGTCATCGCCGCCTGGTTACGGTCCTACGATCACAACAGAAATGTCAGTTAATGAGTTAACATATTCAATTCATTTCACAAATAATTACAAAATGTTTGCGCTCTTAACTTTTTCCATGCTGAATGAGTGATGGACTTCAATATAGCCAAAATATTTTAATTCAATTTAAAATGTATTCAACAAGATTCTATTTACCAGAATGCAGTCTTCTAAATTTCTCGCCGGACTCCAGTGAAACATTCCCGTGGAATCATACTTCATTTCAGTCTTTTCAAAGTCGAAATCCTTGGCTTGGTCATCAGCGATGCCCACCGTCAACCCTCCATTGTTGTTGACGTTGTTGCCGGGAGTGCCTCGTTGTGTGGGCCTAAAACAAAGTTATCACATGATAAGTACTTTGCTAAAGAGAGGAAAATCTATGAAGCAAACAATGATTTAGTTTTAGAGCTACCGGTACTATGATTAATTGAGCTGTTCTGTCTTGTGTTTTAGTAGGAGTAAGATAAAAAAATAAACTGTAGGCTAGTAAGAATGCAATTTTTTAGTTCAAAATATTTATATTCATATTTAAACATCTTTATTCATCATAAATCATGTACATTGGTGGTACAGTGAATAGTGTCAGAATACTTAAAATAAAAATACTATTTCTATTAATGGGAGGTGGAAAACTCATCAAAAGAATATAATGCTAGATTTATTATATGCTCTTTTAGAATTTTCTTGAGGTTTATAAATTCAGGGAACAATTTTAGAAAACGGTTACCAGTGTATGAGGGTTTTTTTTCAAAATATTTTAATTTGTGAGGCTGGACAAACTCCTTTTTCCTCCTGAAATTATGCGAATGCACTGAATTTATTATTAAGTACTTGCTCAGATTCATTTTTTTTTATAAGAATTGTTTCATAAATATATTGCCCATAAAATTTAAAAATTTTTAATTTCTTAAAATGTTCTTTTGCCGAATCATCTGGTTTAAGCTTAAACATAATTCTGATAGCCTCTTTTTGCCACTTCAGAATGCTATCCATATTTAATTTTTATGTTGATCCATATAATGCTAAACCGAATGAAAGATGAGAGTGAATATGAGCAAATATTCTTTTTATGGTTTTCAAATTACAATAAAAGGACATTATTGATAATGCGAAAATTCCAGAGTTAATTGTTGTTAAAGCGTGTGTTCATCCCAATTCAAATTTTCATCTATTGTTAAGCCCAGAAAGTTGATTTGATTTTAGATTTGAATGTTATTTGAGTTGTAAGTTATTGTTGAATCTTTTGTAATTTTGTTCCGTGCTGTTCTGAAATTTATAAATTTATTTTTTTGTGAATTTAATAATAAGTTTATGATATGTAGCAATAGTTTCCAATATTCTCTAATCCTTCATATGTAAAAAATTTCAGTTTCTTCTGGAGAGTTAGATGATACAATCAAATAAGAATCATCAGCGTAAAGACATAATTTATAATTTTGCTTGTAGGTTAAAATTACCTTCCACGCCCTTAAGGTAACACAAAAAAGCAAAGGCCCCAAAATTGAACCTTGTGGCCCTCCAAATTTAATTGGTTGATAAGTTGATGATGATTTAATAATTCTATTATGATTTGTCAAATAGGTAATTTCCAGGAATTGAGACCCATTTGTCAAATAGGAAGAAACCCAGTTAAAAGCTCTTTTAGATATTCCAATTTATTATTTTAAGTTTTTCTAGTAATTTACTATGTTTTACACTATCTAACGCTAAAGGTCCACACACTATCTAAAGGTCCATAAATATGCCAATTGTATAATGTCCTTTGTCTACTGATTCAATGACTAATTCGATAAGAAACAGTTGCGCTTAAAACTGATCTCCCATTCCGGAATCCATGCTGATTATCATCCAAAATATTAAAGTTTTCCAAAAACTCTGATAATTGTAAGTAGACGGCTTTTTCATACCTACACTTTAGAAATTGAAGGAAGAACAGATACTGGGCGATAAACGGATGTATTTTCAGGGTTATTTTTTTGGTGTAAGGAATTATGTTTGTCTGCTTTAATATGTTAGGATACAAACAAAGAAGAAGGATATGCCTGATACAAACGAAGAATTGAAGAGATGACATACAATTTTGATGATGTAGGTTTTTGCAGCCAATTAAAGATTTTAATATCAAATCACAGGAAGATGACACCTAATACTACCCAGGTTGTGTTTTACCGAATAATATTATATTTTAAAAATGGTTCTCAATTTATTAATATTTAAATGTATAATTACCATAGCCTTCTCTAATACAAGGCAGCAGCAAGTCCCGACCTACCGGAACAGATGTCGGACTAACTCATAGGAAGCGTTTATTTGCGAACGTTTAGATTTATTTTTCTGTTAATACTGTTTTTACCTTGCAATAGGCCAGCTAGTACAACGTCGCCACCGGCCACGGCCTTGATGTATTAGAGGAGGCTATGCTATTACCAATGGTTTTTCTTTTCTATTGGTACTATTTACAGTAGCCCAAATATTGAATCTTACTCCCCATAATACAAATTCAATCTAAGGGAAAATCAATCATGCGAACCATAAACATCCGACAACTCAAGTGTATAAAAATGGAGGAGCAATACAACTGTTAGTTTTCATATCCATAGATTATGCATCAAAAACTGTTTTAACAGTTAGATGCTATTTGTTATCATCTTGGTTTCATACTCGCAGCAAAATTATTGATGAAACTAATTATTTGTATATCTTAACTAATGTTTTCCTGCCAAATATTTTTTTTTGTGGTTATCATTAACCTATAACAGATATTTCTTACTCTTAAACAGTTGTAAAACCCTGCCAGAAAAAAAATATCACTAAAATATTACCGACACAAAACAAATTTACCAGTCAAATGACATCGATGACTTTTTCCATTCAAAACACCATACTCAATGGGAATCGGGAAGAGTTCTAGGGTAACATTTAGTTATATCCCTAGCTAGTCTTGCCCATTTACACAACATTTTATAAACACATGTAACTCATCAAATAATTAGGTCTCTTTGTTTTTAAGAAAAATATACAATACCTTTGCAAGTGAAAATATCAGGCAATATGACCATTGATTGTATAAATGGATGAAGGGACAATGATGCAAACAATAAATCTAAATGTAAACATACACTATTTTTTTAGGCTTGAATTTGTTTTGGATAGGAACAGCACGTTTAGCTGTACTTTGGGCGAGTCTTTCAATTAGAAACACATTTTGCACACACATTTGTTCTATGTGTGTACACATACACAAGCTAATTCTGTGTGTATGTGTATATAAATGTGTTATCTATTGAGAAGACTCACCCAATGTACAGCTAAACGTGCTTCTCCTATCCAAAACAAAACCAACCCTATTCTGAACTAGAGTCCAAGAATAACTAAACCAAAATCGGTTATTAAACCAGCTAGCTAAATAAAATGTCATAGAAAGAAATTATTTTTTTATATTTACAATACTTTTTTAATAAAATTTCATTGAAATTGAAGGATTTTTCAAATTTTATGTGATGCAAGTGCTTATGAGCACTTAAAAATATTAAGTTTTTTCTGCATAAGTAAATAAACTTTTTTATCTACTTTGTACAAGCTAAAAGAAATCTAGAGCATAAACCACTAATACTATGCTTAATTTCACTTTCTAAATCTACATCTACACAGTTCTTGAATGTAGTTCTAAAATTTGTAGACAGTAGACGAAATATATTGTAGTGGAAGAATATATATATTGTATACATTTATATTCAAATCCTTTTGGAAGAATTTAATGCAAACTATATTTGATTCTCTTATCTGTAATTTATAACATTTTACATTGTATATTGGAGAGACTGTAAATACTTTATGAATGATCTCTTCTGATAATATATGTACAGAAGATAATAATTGTAGATCTTGTGAGCACAGTTCAATTCAATTTCAAGCAGCATTTTTTTTACTTTTAATGTAACAATTAACAAGCTTTGGAGGCAATAATGGCTAAATATCCATGCTAACTTCTGGTAATTCTGGTGCAGTACGTCTAGCACCATTACTAGCAATCAAAACAATTGTGCTTTAAAAAAATTAATACCTCACTAAAAAAATGACTAGTTTGGCAAAACTAAAAAGTAATTGAACGAGCAAGGTTCGTCTTGAGCCTATCTACAAAACAGATTGATATTGATAAGTTTAGTAAAATTAATTAGTAAACAAAATAGAATAACACTATCACAGCCTTCCGAGTAAAACCGTTTCACATCATGTTAGTAACATGACATTTTTGGTCATGATAATGTTATTATGTGTGACCGTCAAAGCCTAACTTCTAATTCTAACATAAAAGACATAACTATAACATATATACAAAAATCACAAACACATTTTGAATACACAAAAATAATTAAACCTCTCCCATTTTGTACAACTTAACCTAACTAACAATTTACAAGCTTGACTTACCTAGAAGCTACGACCTAGACATTTAAAGCTTTAAAACATGCAATCAAACATGCACGCAGCCCTCTCGACACTATACAGCAATACCTAATACAGACAGAACAGAGAAAGATAGAACAAGAGATAGATTGCGTACATGAGCTTTTTGACTTCATAGGAGAGATGGAGCCCGGCATATGAGTCCTCTTGATTCCTGGAAAAAGTAAAAATATCACTTCGAAACTCCCTAGCTGATCATTTTTCCTGGATAACGCATTTTGACGATCTTTTTCACTTTACCTACAGTGGGTTAGTATGGTTAAAAGTTGTAACGATGAAGGTTGTGACTCGAGTAACTAGAATTGTAAGTATTAATTTTGTTTAGAGGTAAGGATACATTTTAACAAGAATGTATTTCACTTCTTATAGTCGAAAATTGGAAATAGTGATTCGTTTTGAAACTGTATTTTGCTACCTGAGGATAAAGAAATAAGCATTTTTGATCAAATATAATTACAGTCGAAAAAAAACTGTGCAAGAGACATTTTTGGTAATTATGAAAGGTATTCCGATAGAAATATTTTAAAATTATTCACTAACTCGTTTGAACAAATTGCAAATTTTTATGGTGAAAGTAGTTGTGATATTATATCTCTTTATCGTAGAATTGTTTCTTTGACTCGCAGGTTCTTATCAAATAAAATTAAAATCTGAATATTAAGATACTTTCTACCCTTCAGTTCAAAACCTATTAAAAGTTTACGGTTAAAACAGTATTCTTACATTTTAACACTTTTAAGTTACAAATTAGAGTAAATTAATATATTAATCAGACAATCATACAGTATTGATGTGTCAAACATTAGCTGTATTGAATATTTTAATCGTAATCGATATTTCAATTTTACAGAAATGCAAGTGGTGTCATTTGATTTGGAGAACAAATTTTAAATATACACTGTGCAACTAATAGCAAATAGTAACAAAGGTTTTTGAGAAATATCAATTGTGTTCTATTATTTCATGGGGTTTCAACTGTCGATCATCCATAAATACTATTAATGAAAGCCTAAAAAAATTGTTTTGTCATTTCCAGATGCCAAAATTCATGAATTTCAAACAACTGGTGCAGTTCCTAGCTCTCTACACATCGACTCATACACACAGAGACATCACAAAACAATATATTTGTCCTCTTTGAACACCTAAACAACTCCACCAAAAACTAGAATTTAAAAGTTTTGAAAAAAATAGTACTTTTTCAATACACTAAGGGGTAATGAGTTAGTAAGATTTTGAAGTTATTTGTATTGACGATTTTTGTATAAATTGTTTATTATACAATTTGATAGTTTTAATTTTGTTGTCAATCCATCCAACTGTAGGCTTTGTTAATAAATGTGAATTCTCAGCTCCAGTCAAACTTTCTATTTAATTAGATAAATTCAAACAAATCTATTAAACAATTTTACTTGATTCTTTTGTCGGAAGTCACAATTTGCAAGTGTAGATAACAAAGGATCGGTAAAATGAAATTAAGACAAGATGAAAGAAGTGAAGTCAAGAATTTGTCATGAATTGTTTATTATACAATTTGATAGTTTAAATTTTGCTGTCGAATCTATCCAACTGTAGGCTTCGTTAATAAATGTGAATTCTCAGCTCCAGTCAAACTTTCTGTTTAATTAGATTAATTCAAACAAATTTATTAAACAATTATACTTCATTCTTTTGTCGGAAGTTACAGTTTGCAAGTAAAGATAACAAAGGATCGGTAAAATGAAATTAAGACAAGATGAAAGAAGTGAAGTCAAGAATTTGTCATGAATGAATAAGGCAATTACTCTGTTAGTCAAAAATCAAACTATGAAAATGCTAGTACAGCATGCAAGCAGATGAGGCGATAAAATTATGTTAGCTAAAATTATGTAAAATGAAGTGAGTGAAATCTCCAAAACTCTTCAACAAAAAAAAAGTCATCCAGCTATGCCTATAATAGGTAACAGGTAAACTGTGTACACCTTTTGAACACCTTGAATACGTCCAATTTGTTTGATTTCAATGTAAAAAAAAACTGAATAGGAAATGTATTCATGAGTTTGGGAAATCGTGTCCAAGCATGAAATGATGATGCTAAATCTGAATTATAATTATGGGTACTTTAAGGAAATTTAAGAAGTCAACACCTCTTCCGACTACAGTGTGGTATACAATAAAGTTTAAAAATAGTGTAACTTGTGAATGGCAGAGATTGGGTGAAGGAAAATCAGAGGAAAATAGATGTATGCAACCTCTCAAAGCATTTGAAACTAAAGGAGTTCTGTTTGTTGACGTATTCGTTGGTACTTGCCTGTTGTTGTAGTTGGAGTTCGGAGACGTAACGTCATTAGGTGTACGATTGACATTAGGCTTCACTTTGTTTACTTGTTTCGTAGAGTTGACCATCGCTGTAGGAGTGTTCCTCAGGTTTCTATTCGCAACTACTGCACAACCAAAGATAGATTATTGGTGTGGTTAAATTACTAGAGAGATGAAATAAGCCTAGTAATGAACATTTTCAAGCTGATGAAATTGTATCTACCGTATGGTAAATTATAGAAAAATTGAATAACTATTTATAATTTGGCTGGAAGAAACTGAATCAGATAATGTTTCAAAATAGTTTTGACCGAGTCCTAACTACACTAAATTCTAAATTAAAGTGGTTTGAAATATTGAGGGTAGTTTCTTTACAAAAGTAACTAATTTTACCATTTCAAAAACTTTAGAACACAGATTATAAATTAAGCAAAATCTATATTTTAGGAGATTTGTTTCAATTTTTTCACTAACATTTAAGTCCCTACATAAACTGCAATGTTAAGTCCATTAAAGAAGAGGGTCTCAATCCCAGGAAATTTTTGCTTTTTATACAAAAGCTAAAATCTATCATGGGTGAAAAACTGGCAAATTTGCCCTGATTTTTAGCATTGTAGCATTATAAAGATGTTCAATTGTTGATTATATTGTAAACTGGTGATCAACTAAAAATTGTATGAAGATTCAATGAACACAAAAAATTATTGTGTAATTTAAATTGATGAAAAAATCAAAATACTAACAACTGTGCGAAGGAATGACAACTAAATTTATAATTGAGGAATATCAAGATGTAGTTTAAATGTTGTCTATGTTAATAAAGCAATCAAATTAAAACTGTCTGTATGTGTTATTAAATATTACTAACCATTACAAAATAAAGAAATATAATGATCTTCTATTTAAAGTTGTTTTACATTTTTGGAAGTCAAAAAACTTTAGAAGCCCCACCAAATTACAAGGTATGATAAAAACCATAATCCAGTGATCGAGACCCCTGATTACAGATACCTCCTTTTCTGTTTAAATACAAGGAGGGATGTGCATAAATAAAACAAGATGACGTGTCTAGTCTACCTCTGACACACAAAAATGCAGTAATTAAGTTTTAACTATGAAAGTAATTTATCTTGAGCTATAGTAAGACTTTACCGAATAAACCAGACCTAAAAGGTGAGGTAGTAGAAAGAGGCGATTGGACAATCATCAGAATATTACAATAATACTCTATCAGAAAAATTGAGCATAGCTCAAGATATTTCAATACTTAAATATAACAGTTTTAAGTTAGTCAAAATGAAAAAGATCAATTAATGATGTAACACCTTCACTCATTAATATCTGTATGCTACTGTTAAAATAAATACTTGACCAAAAGGTGTTATAGAAAATATCACATTCCAAAAATCACTCCAAATACAAATAAAGAGGGTAACGGGTGACTTAAATCCGCCAGTTCATCATGGCAGTGTATACAAATAAATCGGTAATTAAAATAAGAAACATATTTATTTACAATGTCCCTTATGCACAATAAATATGTCAATAAATAACCATACAGTTTGGCAAAAGAATATTCAATGACCTGATGGATTTTTTGTGATACCAGACAATTTTAGAGTGGATTCTTGAAATGGACTACCGTGCCATAGTAAATCAAATTATACTTCATGTAGAGTAGATCAAATTGCATTTTGGTTAAAAATATGGAGTTAAAACTTGAAGAAAGGTGATTTTTCTTCTCTTTTCCCAATATTAATTTCTAGAGGTTTTTTCTAGAATCTGAGGAATTTGAACTTGACCCGATTTGGGAAATACCCCCTCCCCCTCCCCAAACTATCTAACCCCTTCTTTCTCCATTGACCGTTATATCCTTAATTCCTTCTTCTTCTGAACTATATTTCAAGATACTGTGATTGATATAATATCTTACCAAGGGGAAATGTATATCATATCGTGTTGAATAGAAAAATATCACTAGTTTCGTCCGTTTATGAATTTTAGCTTTATGGATAAAATTCTGATAGAATAATAAAACTTCAGTAATTACAGTAATATTTAAAGATTTTAACTTTTTCCCTAAAAAAATACTTCTAAGAAAATGGTAATTTGGAAATCATCCTTGTTGATTTCACATAATTATTTTGAGTTTAGATATTTGATTTTTATGCCAAACTGTACAGGGGAAACAAACTGGAATAAAACACAGTTCCAACAATTTCCTCAAATATGGGTAAGCTGTTGCTTTGTTTGTTTTTACTAAAATATTTTATTGTAAATGCAAAATTTTACTTTACATTTTTCATCCATCTATATAATTGATGTAAAATGTAGTAGTACTCTAAACAAATTGTTAAAAAAGTTCTTGCCATAATGAATACTAATTTAAATGAAGAAATTGTTGACTGTTACTACAATATGGTAGTAGTTTGGGAGCAACTATTTCTGGAAACAAAAAAAAATCAACACACAAAGTTTGTGCCAATCAATAATTATTATGGTACGTTTTGTTTCTGAGGTCCTAAAAACTACGGTAATTCTGGACTTAGTAGACCCACTTATATTTGCTGAGATTTTTAAAATTAATTTTTTGAAACTTTTACATATATTGCAATCTATATTTCTGTTACTATTTTGTTAATAAATTAAACCTATTTTTGGGGGGTACTGTATAACTGTTTTGTTGCTAAACAGTGTTTTATTCCAGATGGGTGCAATTTTATTTCAGTGTGCCAAATTTTGGGAATTTTTTATATTTACTTACAGGCATCTTCACGATCCCTGCCCGCTTCACCTGTATTTCCAAACAATATTATTACACAGACAAACACATTTGTATATACAATCTAAACAGAGACAAAAATACAGCGATAAGGATCAGTCAGGTTATAGCGATTTGTTAGTATGCCTACGAAACAGCCTGGAGAAGGATTCCGTTGTTATGGTTCTATTTTGTTTCTTTCCCATTTCTATTCTACATTAGATACACATATAGTCTCACATTGACCCACATATAGTCCTACATAGACCCATAGACTAAACTGAAGACAACAGTGTGCGTAAATCATGCTTCATACGAAACTATGTTTGTACATGTCTACAATTTACAACATGGTTAAATTTTACATACCGGTACATGCAATTTGAATATCACAGCACATTTTTACATAATTTCATGTAGGTTTCGATGCATGCAGTTTGAATATATCGCGGTTCATTATTACATTATTTCATTTATTCAAAGTTATTTTAGTAGGCTAGCAAACTATCTAATACATTGTGTTTTCAATAATGAGCTGTGATTTTTTCATAGTTTCCATAAATAGTAAGATTACTAAGTAACTCACAAAATAAAAGCAAATTATTGTTTTATAAAAAATTTATATCGTTTTAGACTCAGGAATTTATAGGTACTAAAATGATGTTAAATAGCACAAAACAAGTTTGATTTTTTAAATTATTGAAATAAGGATTTATTTTTCTCTATCTCTCTCTTTCTAACTTAAAATGTGTAGCTTAAACACAGTTTGGTGTTGTACTACTACTTATCAGGGCCAATTTAAGGGGTAAGCAAAGTATGCGGTCATGTAGAGCATAAAGGAAAAAGGGGCACCTAAGCGCTCAAGACTACAGGCATTAATATAAACCACTAAGAACATCTCCCACGGTTGTGTAGACATCAACAATATCTCCTGCAATTGTGAAAAAATGTTGGTAATTTCCCACAGCAGTGTGGAAATCATCATGATATCCTGTAATCGCCGCAAAATTCTTCCGTGGTAACGCAAACATTATTATCGTCATATGTGATCGCGGCAAAATTAAGAACAACTCCCGCAGTCGTGTAGACATCATTATTGTCTCTCCTGATTTGGTAAAATTCAGATAATTTGTCCCGGTTGTGTAATAAACATTGTTATTGGGTTCCGCAGTCATTACCTGCAGTAACAGAGACATTGACATTATCTAAACAAAAAATCAATGAAATGATCAATGATAATGCCGTAACCCCTAGGTCTAGCCTGAAGTAATTTGAAAAAAATTGAAAAAAGGGCACGTGCCTAGCGTCCTAGGACAAAACAAAATTTTTTAATAAAAACAAATCGTCTTCCGTGATCACAGCGAAATTTTGATAAGCCCCCGCACCCGTTTAGACATCATCGTTTCCCGCAGTCACGGAAACTGCATTGTTGTCATGCTCGATCATGGCTTAAACAGTAATTTTTCAATCACACGATCTTTCATACGACAGGTATCGGTATCGGCGTTGACTTTTACCGTTGATTCCATCAATCAATGATCACTGATGGTATTGATGATATCGATACCATCAGAATCCGAGAGTCACAATCGAGAATCAACACCTCCCTATCTCCAACCCTCACGGATGGCAGGGGGCCGGAATGTTGTTTACTTACTCTAGAAAAATGTCTAGAACCAGCCCTCCTACTTACATCATGAAACTTGTAACGTAATATATGGTTTCTTTAAAAGGATATTTATTCGATTTTCAAACTATTAATAGTGCATTGTCGATATTTTAATGTTTCCGCATATTTTGTTGTGAAACGTGAATCCTTCCTACTATATATTAAATTTGTTTACGTTTATTTTCTTTTGTAATTTTTTAAAATTTAAATTGTCATCCTAATACCTGGTCTAAAGTATTTTCTTGAAGTATAGTAAGACAATTTGTAAAATTAACTTACAACATACACATTTACAAGTATTACACGGTGAAAATAAACATATGTAAGTAAATATGTACAAATGCATAACACAAACTCAAACAAGATAAGAATTTAAAGTGAATTTGTAGTTGGTATGTACAATTGTAAAGTAGATAAGTGAAAACAAAAATAATGGTGTGTTGATCAGTTTGATTTCTTTATGTATGTGTACCATTTTGTTATATAAACATCAAGCTTTATGTAACTTTTATGTTTTATTTGCTATCTACGTCTTTAAAAAGTTTGCATAAAGGTATTCATTTTTTTTTTTTATTCCCATTGTTGATGACTGAAGAACTTTCTTCATGCACTTACTTCTTAAAACGGACACCAGTTGTACCCACTTAAATTCCAGTTAGTAAGGAGAGAATTGACCCTGCTCTATTTACTACAGTCTAAAACGCTAACTAGAATAGTGATTTTTCATAAACAATGGTGTAAAAACACCATAACTATTTTTTATAAAAATTAAGGACATCTTATCAGCTGATTAAAATTTACTTTTAATTTACAATAATTGACAACAATGAAAATCGATTACTTTCTAAGTTCCCTCGATCTCTCTAAACAGAAAACGTTTTCCTTTTTTTTCTGAATACGTAGAAGAAACTACTACTAAGTAAGAAGTCATGACACATTTCCAGTCGAAGTTTCTTATTGATGTATCGTGTAAGCTACATTCTCAATTGATATCTGACTGTTTCTTAAACTATATAAATTACACCACATCCGAAACTCAGCATTCAAAACATTCAAGAGGGCACATTTTTTCACAAAACTTTGGTTTAGCTCGTAGCAATAGAGTGACAAGCGAGATGTGCTTGCAAACAAGAAGTTTTCTCTAACACTGTTGCATTTTTTAATTTTATACAGTTATCTCAGTAGTTTAAAGTATTTTAATTACTTTATCAACACTAGCATCTAACTAGGTGTAACTCTCAGAGTTGTTGGCCTTTTCCGTCACTCTTCCTAACTTTCCTAACTAAGAAGTACAAAAAATATGTGTCCATATAGAACAAAAATATTAAATCACTAAATTCAAATAGTTACACAGACAATTATTTTTCTGAAATACTACCATTTAAATGAGCCCTCTCAAAGTTAACCAGCACCAAACTTAAAATGCCATGCAATAGAGAAAAAATTTAGGAAAAGAGGAGGGAAGACAGAAGGATTTTAAGGATAAAATTCTACTTAGAGATATAGAATGAAAACAATTTGGTATAAAGAAAGAAAAAGTAAAAGTTTTTAAAATTTAAATTCAGTTTAACACAGCATCTTGCATAAAGTAAATAGTCTTAGAAAAGATTGTCTTTCCAAATAGTGTTCTTTGTTTCATCCAAGCAGCTTTTAAATTATGTAATAGGTTGGAACACTGACTTTTGGATCAAAGGTTATAGATACTAGCATGTGAAAAATGCCTTCAGTTTTAGACAGGACCGATCAGTAAGGATCAACTCGCTCTAGGGTTGAAAGACACTCCCTTCCCACCAAATGTCTAATCCTACTCCTTCTGTGGAGTAGAATTAGTTTACATTCTGGTATATCATGACACAAGTAAAACATTATAAATGGAAAAACTGTTTTGAACCCCTAGTCCAAAGCCAGGGTCTTAAAAGGATCTTCCTCTAACATGTACCGCATTTGAGCCAAAAGTAAAACTTTACCTATCAAACTATTGATACCAAGTATTAAATCAATGTTTCACCAGTAATTTTTTTGTTGACCTTCTCGATCTTCAAAGAAAAATCAAATTTTCAGGTCTGCGTTCCTTTTGATTTTAAATTGATTATAAAGGTCGCTTGTTCCTTTAACAAATCTGAATTAAGACAAGAAAAAAAGCCTGATGAATATTTTTATTTAATTTAATCTGCCTTGAATCAAACTTATTCACTTTTGGTGCAACCTGTCCACTAATTTAATTTAAGATCTCACAAAAACTACTACAGCTGATTAATATTTTTGGGATGTCTGTTATACATACCATATAGCTAACTCACAATTTTGAAATATCAATTAGGAGACATACACTTTTATGTCCAGCAAAGCTATTAGTAGATTAAACATAGTTTATTAGAGATTTACCATTTTTATGGATCAGCTAAAGCCTATTTTAAAGCTTTTTCCAGTCCTGCTTGTGTTGAGTGCCTTTGAAGATAACTTTTTTTATTTATTATTACCTTGAATAATTGGATTACCTGTCATCAGGATAACCTGTCATGTGGATGATTGGCTATGTAAAACCAATTAGTAGCAAATCAATATTTGCCACTCCGGGGCTACTAAAGTGAATTTTACTATTAGTTTATTAGGTACTTAAAAACCTATTATGACCTATTAGGATGATTTATTTGTAAACAGTTGTTTTTAGACTGCTATAGTAAAGCAGTGATTAAAATGCACATTTTAAAATTTACTATATGACAGATAAATTCAGTTGAATCAGACAACTCAAGCTTTGCCAAACATGAAAGAGATTTTACAATATATTGAGAAGTATATTTGTAATAACAAGATTCTTTAAAAAAAAAAACTAATAGAAATAATTGATACTCAATTTTCTAACTTTTACACCCACAAAGACTTTGCCGGTAAACTTGAATATTTTTAATAAAATAAGAACGTATTGCAAGATGCTGTTTGAACGAAGTGCACAAACATGGAAAAGGAAGGTAATATACCTCTAAGGTGAACCTTCTTGGGCAATTCTGGCGGAGTAAACGTAGGAGGGGGATGATGATCATCTGTAAGAAGACAAAATACATTCCACCATGCACACACGACGAATGTAATCTCACTCTCACACTAGACACCACAGTATAATAAACAAACTCGGTAGAGTCGAAAAGATCATTCTTAGAGACACGAGATGGTCGGCAGCGAGAACCATGTTTTGCTGGTTTCAACCAGTAAATAGGAGAGAGAATATTGAGTAGACTATAGCGAAGTTGTCAAATCTTGGTCCTCCAGGGGGTGACACGTTGTTGAACTTATAAAAATAGTAGCCAACGATGGATTGAACTGGGGTTTGCCCAATTGGTACACCACATCCAAAACTTCAGCCACTATTTTTGCCAACTCAACAAATCGCATCACCTAAAGACCAATATTAGAAAGTCTACTTTGACAGTGGAAGACTACATCAAAATTTTAGCAAAGTTGTCAAAAAACTAAAAAATTTTACTAGCTTAAAAAACAACGTATGTCAACTAATTGAAACCGATATATAACTCTACTGGTTATGAATCCCAATTAATTAAACTACGTAATATACTGCACTATTCAAATTTTCACCACAAAATAAGACTGCAGCAAAACAATTTTCTCACTGGAAACCATAACAAGTGTCTCTGAAAATAAGTTAAAACTTTTCAACTCTTCCTAGTACTGTTAGTAAATTGAAGCTACACTATTAAACAACACTTTGAATTGCTTTTAAGCTTTTATAAAGTATTTATTTACTTTAAATTGCAAAATTTTTATAGTTGAAATTGATTCGCTAAATTTAATAATTAATATACAAAAAATTAAGATGACAAAGTGAAAGATTAGTTCATTAATTGTCTTAGTCGTCAATAAGTTACATACCATTGATTTAGCTCTGAAGGACATTATTACCAAAGTTGGTAATCATAATCACATTAAAAATAATGTCTAGATATTTCTGTTATTTACAAACAGTTTTTATGTTATATTTTAATGTTTACAAAAGTTAAAATATTATTCGCATTCTATTTTCATTAAACATTTACTACTAAATGATCTAGCTATAAATGCTTTTAAACTAACCTAATTGTTTTAAATCTGTATTTACAATAATTACTAGTCAAAATGAATTGAAAACAGATTTAAGATCCTACTGAAAAAATCTTTTATTATCTAACACTACCATTACCTGATCCAGAACAACCGAATTAGCAACAAATGTTTTGACAACACAATTTATTCTTGTTTTTTTATGAGGAATTGTAATATAAAATACATCGTTTAAAATTAAGTTTTCTTTGAATGTAAGTTGCTAATTCAGTTATGAAGAGCATGTTACTAATCCACGCAAACTGTGCATAGAACTACAAATTGTTAGAATATTAAAACTGTAAATCTGTACATATAAACACAGTTAACACATTAAAACACACACCATGTCCTGAAATGTTTTGTTTTATAGTTTGATTGAATATGCAAGAGAGTAGAGTATTGTGAGTAGAGTATCATGGCCTCCTCCAAAACAAGGTTTGCGGCGAGACAAAAGAGGCAATGTACTATTTCATAATGAAGATTCAACCCAAGGTTTATGTATACACGTCTGTTATTACTATTGTTACCATGGCAATAAACCGGCCCAGTGCAATGTTGCCAAACACCAACGCCTTGTATTAGAGAAGGCTATGGTGCTATTTAAGGAAAACAAAATCTTGAAAATTAAATATCATTCATTAAAATTTTCAAAATTAACCAGACCAAACTGTTGTATTTTAATTGTAACCACAGCTGTTTTGTGCTACCAAATTGAGTATCAGTCTTCAGGTTAAAGTTGCCAATCGTATCTTTCACTTCCAAGTATCTTGTGTATTAATTTCCATTTGTTTGTTTGGTTCACCCGTATTGAATTCTGTCTTGTTTGTGTTAGGTTTTTGTTATCAAATATCTCCTTACAAACTCGAGCAAAAAGAAATGTGGGGTAAACTTTCGTATCTGTTGTAAAAAAAAAACAAAAAAAAACATATGAAAATATTGATTATCGATTATTTAATTCAATATATCGAATATTTTTTCATTCGGTTGTTTTGGCAACAGATATGGAAGTGTACCCGAAATGTGTAATGAAGCTTGCTATTTTAAGCTGTAGATGTGCTCATTTGCAGGTAGAATGAAGATAAAGCTGTAGTTATAATTAATCTACAATGGAATTGGAAAATTCATCGGGGATTGGATTATTTTGGTTGTTAAAGCTTCAAAATTGAATTTACAAGTTCTTTAAAATTTATTAATTTTACGTAGAATGGTAGAACTATTTATAATGACAATTTTATTATAATCAATTAGATTTGAAATCACATGTACATATTTTTACAGAAAATAACATTTATATTACTTTATAAAATAATATCTTATAACTGATTTTTGTATGAACAAATTCAAATAGGTTTTCAGTGTCGACAAAATAAACAATCTTGCTGTATTGAATTGCACTAGTTGAAAATTGTAATTTCTTTTGAAGCGGAGGATAGTTTGACCATTTAAGATCAAGAGTTAGGGGAAAATCACATTATTTATGAAGCTAACCAGACTGAAATTAGATAGTTTTGATCCTCTCTGACCTCACTCATAGTGTTAGGCCATGTGGTTACAGACACTAAAGAGATGAAAAGGGTTTTAAGGTGGGATTCCTAAGCTACGACTGTAACTGTAACTGCATGGCTCTAACTGGGCAAAACCACAGAGCTTGACGCCAGCTAATTCAATTAACAATACCTCGCAGGTAGTTTAACTTGTTCAATCACGCGCCTCAACGTCTACTGATTTAACAATCCCAACCATTGATGCCAGGCGATTAAATAGCCATGTCCCTCAATGCCAGCTGATTTAATGACCACTAAGCTACAATCACAGCTTAGAAATCCCACCTTACACAAGCTTCCCAACTAATAACTTGAATAACAAGTTAGGATATCTAACATATTTGCATATTTCTATGCATCATTTAAGAACATAACTAAATAACTTTCAGAAAACAAAAATACTTTCATTTATTTTGTGTACATCCACTTTATTCCTTATCCTTAAAGATAAGTATACAAAAATGTTATGATCCGACGACAATAAGTTAGATAATTTAATGTTAGTCTCAAAGTTTTAAATGTCTTGTGACGGTTTCAAGCTCCCTCCTGAGAAAGAAAAATTAAATTTTTTAATTTACTGTATTGCAAAAGCTCAGGTTTTGCTTTGAAGTGAATAGGAACTATTTCAATAATAGCATTTAAAAAGAAAAACTTATATTTTGTGGAAATAAAATGCTGGAGAAATTAAAATTTCCGTAAACTACCAAATTTGTCAAGGACAAACTTAGATGAGAACAGTTTAAAAACTAAAATCTCATTAAACTCAATAGTCAAAATAGGTTCTTCTGGAATCTTTCAGTTGAAGAAGTAGAACTTTATAGGAATAACAGTGACGGTTTCAACTAAGCCATAGTTTATCTTGTCATAAGGGCACAAAAAAGTGGGATAGAACTAAGGCATAGCATTTAAAACAGAACCGTAGAAGCATCGATTACCAATTATAATACGTATTTACTGTTGTAATGCTTATTATGGTATTGTTTGGAACACTATGTTACAATATGCCACACAAAGAGTGTGTTAACTTTTACAAAAACTTATCGTCTACCATCTTGTCCAATACAATTTACTAAATCAACAGGACATTGTGATTTTATTCGTAGCAAGAAATGTATTTGATTATTTGCAATCGTCGCCCGTTACATAATTTATTTGTCAAGCAAAAGCTTAGCTTTAGCTACACTGAAATGCCTTAACGCTATTTCCTCTACTAGCATATTCAATCAAAGTTGTGTATAAACAATAATAATGCACCTTCATGCAACTCTAGCCAGGCATTGAGAATTGTAGTTCATTCGTCCAGGCAATCAAAAAAAGTGTAAAAAAAAGAAGCAAGGGTGTGACAAGCCCAACAAGCCAAGATAGAAAGAGAGAGACAGAGAGATCGAGTGAGAAATAGAGAGGAGAAAAGAGAGTGAAAGAGCGAGAAAGTGTGAGGACCCTATGTGAAAAGGACAGGAAAAGGGTTCGGGAAAGGCGTACGCTGACCTAACTTACTTGCGTAGGTGAAATCCTCGCCTAAGACAGGAAAATTGAACAGAAAAAAAACGATAAGAGTCAACAAAAATAGACATTGTTTATGACAAGTATGAGTTTCTCCATCTCCACAGCTTAGTTAGATTATTTTATCTATAATATTTGTTTACGGCTAACATCGACCGAGTTCTAGATCCGAGATCTGGGGTTCTATAAACCTAAACACACAAGTCTACACTGAGACGCAACCATGCTCTATCCCACCACATACAAACACGTTTGTCACAACAACAACTTGTGTCCTGACAACATCAACAACTGTCCAGCTCAAGCTCAACTCACTGGTTCAGGCCCAACAAAACACAAACAATAAAAATTGTAAAAAAAACACTAAAAATATTATAAAAATTTAATAAAAAATTATAATATTTGAATAATGTTGTATATATTCTTTTTACAGTTGATTAAAATTATCTTAATTTTTAAAACCAATAAAAAAATTTTTCTACCATACATTTAGGAATACAAAAATGTGGAATTGACAAAAAAGATAAATATCCTTTTTTCTTTTGTAATTTTTGGGAGTGGTCAATGCTCATTAATCATATTATTTAACCTTCAACAACTTATTAAAAACAATGTTGTTAAATACATAGAAATTTGTAAATTAAACTTGAATAGATGTTATCACAGTAGTATAGAGTACTAAAGAAAACATATTATTAATCACTCTTGAGCCTTAGCATCACTTAAAACTTTTCAAATACAACTTTTTGTCATTTGCACAACTTTCGACACTACAAACATTCTTGATAGCTAAAATCACGAGGCTTTCATCACATAAAGATTTATTTAATTAGTTCATAAATTGTTGGACCTGAAACCAACAGTTCGAGAAGCTGACAGAAGGTAACCCAAATAAAAATTAACTGGAAGGAGTTTGAAAGGACAAAGTAAAAGGAAAAGGGTATGCATCTCCTAGAATCAAACTCAAGATTCAGATTTATAGTAGAGAATTGATACTTTAAAACCCCATTTAATTGTTATTTAAAAACTATACTGTAATCTGATTCTATATAAGTTCTATTGTGTGAAGTTAACATTAAGTTCATAGAGTAATAGTTAATATAAAGATCTGCTAGGATCTCAGGTGCAAATTAATAATTTGAACCACAATTTGATGGACAGGCTAAAATTTAATAAACCTATAAAACCACTGAAAAAGATGTTTTGTATTTTCATTTTCTTTAATTCTTGATTAGAGGTTTGATAAAAGTTCAATAAATACTGTGGTCACACCTAGGTTACTAATAAGATTTTTTAAATTGCATATCTACTAAAGCTTAGCTTGTTGAGATAAGTTGGGATCTAAAATATGTACAATATGAGTACATATTTACAATACGTGTATTTTTATTGTACAACACATTTTTAATTTGTACAAACATCCCTCAAAACTAAAACCATTCAAACAAATTTTCATAACCCTTTCTTCACTTTTTGTTGAAGACAGTACAGTTAGGATAAGAGTGAAGAGGAAAAAAGGAAGATGAGAGGAGAAAATATAACAATACAGGATACTATAAACCATGAAACAGAAAAATGTTGAGTCTATCTAAAACATAAACTGGTCAACACCTATCACTAACAGTTAGGTTGGTACATAGAATAGAACCTCTTTGGCATTGTAACGTTAATTGTGTGTAACCTCCCTCGGCTCATTCCAATTTTTTTTTTCTCCTTAAAGTTTAGATAAATTTGATTTCTTCCAAAGTTAAATAGAACAAAAATCAAGCTAATCTTTGAATCTAAACTTATTATTTTCAATTGAAAGTGAGTTTTTTTGTTAGTAATGTTGGTAATGAGCCGCAGTGGAGGGGGTGTAAGTCTATGTAATGTGGTTGTCGTGTGAAACATACTTGCTCGTCCCACCATCTGCACCGCTCTCACGCCTTTCCGGAAAGTGGCCACTGGTAGAAAAAACAAGGTTAGCCATGATGCAACTACCACAATTCAGATGGCAAACCACTGAAATTATTGTATGTAAATAAAAAAATTGATTTGAAATAAAAAAGATTAGGGTACACCATGATTTGAGATAGTTTAAGATGAATACAGATGAGTAGTTTTAATGAGATAAAATAGGTTACCTTTGTTGTCATTAATTCATAACTACAGATGACTACTTTCGGATCAAATTATTTCAAAGATTGAACGAATGGAACTTAAATTATGAACAAATTTAGTTATGACAACATGTGCTTTTGTTGATTTGACTTGATAATGGAGCAGCAATGCTCGGAAACTAGTCAACTGTAATTATAAATAAATGGTGGATTGACATCAAGGATACAATACCTATTTTATCATGATTGTTACATCCATCCTTGGGGAAAATATAATTCTTTGATGGAACTATGCTAGCAAGCACAAAAAAACTTGTTGAGTAGAGTCATAGTTGACAATGTTAATTGACTCTTGATATAAATTGCTTGGTACATTTTACTACATCTGTAGAATTGCATTTGCAGTACGTTATCAGTACTGTGGTCCTGGAACGAAGTAAAAACGTGAATTCTGTATATAAAAGTGCTCAGTAAAGATTTTTTTCATTTAAATAGTTGTTTACACATTACTCAATGTCAATCTACTATTCATTTATGTTAGTCTCCCTTGAAATGAAGCCATATGAGATTAGTTCACATTTAACGCACACCTCAAAGAACATAAATACTACAATTTCTAATGCGTCCAATTAATAAAAAAGTACGATGTTGATCAAGAAGTTATTTTATTAATAAAGCCCCATATTAAAAATGCTACATGACAACATCCCAATCAACATTATTGTATGCCTAAGTGTTTTTTTGTTGATTTTTTGCGCTTGCTAGTACAGTAGACTTGAAATTGATGATGATGAATGCCTATTCTTAAAAATCTGATTTAAAAAACAAAGTTTTGGTGAGATGAAAAATGCTCAATTTAAATCCAGGAAAAGTTTACAAGGCACACATTGTTTGGGGGCTCTCACCAACTTCAAATATTCCAGTTTCAACAACAAAACAAATTTTTAATATTGTTACTGGTTAGTGAACAACCAATAATTCATTACACCTTTGCCATCTGCTTTGTACTTAAAACATACGGTATTGTGCCATATCTATACTATTCACTTTTTACTATCGTGATTTGTGATTTCTTCACTCTTGTTTGCTACCATACAAAAGATTAATAAATTTAGTTTAAAAAAACAATAATTTGTAGGGATTAAAAACAATTTTCCTAAGTTTGTTGCTTATTTGACACTTTTTTAACTGTGTAATTATTAAATATATTATGCTTAAAAATATTTAATTTTAGAATTTGTTTTTTTCTTACTGAAATAACACCTAAAACTATATTAGCCCTATGTAATTTGTTGTGTGGTAAAAGAAGGGGTATCAACTATGTCAACTACAGAAACAAAAAACTAATTTAAAAGTAATTTTCACTATGTTTAATCAAAATGGATCGTTTGATTATTGACAGTTTATCAAATTAAAAACGAATACAAAAAGCTGCATTGTGATTCATGAAAACAAAAGATTATCTCAGAATATTATATATATAGGGTTAGTAAAAAGTCTGGAGACCCCCTGTTAATTGTTTAACGGCCTATACTAGAAAAACTAAACTTGACACACCTTTATGGCATGTAATGAAGTACTTTTTGGGCATCACCGCCACTTGGTGTACATCCCAAAAATGGAGGATTTTGAGGGAAAATCAAGACTTTCAAATGTTAAGACCCATCGAGTGACCACTCATTTTGAAGGGCTTAATAAAAAACCAACAAAACAAACTAGAGGTCTCTACCTCAATCCAATAAAAAATGGCAGCCAGTTGAAATTCTCAGAAGTTAAATTTAACTTACAGCCTCCTCAAGTCTGGAGACCCCTGTAAATTTTGTAACAGCTCACACTAGGAAAACTAAACTCTACACACCTCTATGGCACGTTATAAAGTACTTTTTTAGCCTAATTCAGGGGTGCCCACAAGGGGGGGCCGTGACGCAGACTGCGTCATTGAAATTCTTGGGGGGGGCTCAAAAAATTCAAATGGGGGGGGGCTAAAGTTAATTGCAACAGTGTTCAACGTGACGACAATCCAAAATACATTACGAAGTCGCCAGATAGAAAGTGAATTAATTAATGACAATAGTTATATTATTGAATTAAATTAGTTAAAATAGGATTTTAATAGTTTAGGATTCGTGTAGAAAGTTATTTAAGATTAGCAAGACGTGAGATCTAAGAGAGGGAGCGCACGGGATGGCTCAACTGCTGTGATAGATAAAAGATAACGCGTGGTACAGACACGTCCAGCTACACCGCGACTTAGCACAGCAGAACGCTTTGTTGACATAAAGCTCGTTAAAATACAATCAAGTAGCAAGTAGCATAGGCTACAATACTTTACACTATTGTGTAAATACTCGATTACCTGAGTTAATAGGGAGAGGGGGGGAATGAAAAATACGGTTAATCCAATATAGTATAAAAAACAGATGACAAACTCATTAAAACGCTGTAAACAGCCATTAACGTCAAGATTTACATTTTTATAAACGAAATTCAATATTGCACAATCATTATTATTGTAAATTTCAAATCATTTATCTTGGTTCAGTTGTACAAACGGCAACGTTTAAAATTGTAGCTAACTCAAACTCAACTAATCACTAGCCAAACATTGCATTGCTATAAATAACGTAAATATTAAAGGAACCTTTAGAAAGTGTTACAAGGTACTGCTCATGATAGACAGAGGCTACCGATAGGTGCTGTATCACAGCATAGGAATTGATGGATAAGTAATAAAAAAAATGTAAAATTATATTTAGAGATAATTAAAACACTCTTAAAAAAGAATGTAACGAGAACAATCTTGTTATTCTCTTTCTTTGTTCTTCTGTTCTTTAATAGGTTTCTCTTCAATTCATACACAAATTCAACAAGTCGCCATATTCAGGCCTACTCATTGGCCAATCACAGCCTTACTAAAGTTACCATGGTTATCACTCAATCACAGTGTACTAAACATTATATCGTCATCATTCCCCAGCTGCTGAAATCTGTTGTAACATAGCGCACAGCAGACAGAAGTGTATAACGGAGCAGACGATTGTTGGCGCAAGCGTTGTTTCCATTTCATTTTCATCAAAGGAGCTGTGATGTTTCTAAAGGGAGGGAGATGGGATCGTTATATCGAGAAAGACGCTGACAATTCGTTAAGCAGAGGTTACGAACGCTATATAGATATTCTGGCAAAAAAAATTCCTTTAATTGAGGTGACTTATAATACTCTAATTTTATTTATATAGGAAGATAAGTTTTCCAGTCCTGTACAACACTGATTCACGGTCTTTTCCCTGTAATCAAAATTCAAGTACAACTTGATACACACAGAATCTCCGGTTCCCGACCTGGATGATGGCTAGTTATTTAATTTAATTTACAGTTACATATTAGTACTCGTGATAAATCAAACCCGTTGTAAGCCACACGGTTATTAATCTCACTTGGTTTTGGATTTGCTTACAAACGTGATCGGAAATGGTTAGGGCCTACACAGCATTCTTAAAGAACATTTATGTAAAAATATCAGTGACAGCTAGGAAAAGGAATCTTTATCAAAACAGCTGTTCGTAATTTCATATATGACGTGTTCTCTTAACAGATTATTAGTATTTCATAAATTAATGACTTATGTAGTAAACATGGAGAAAATAAACTAGAAAAATCACACAAAATTGTGTTTTTGATCGTCCGTTATTTTATTTCCAAAATAGTGAGGCCATATTTTAATGGCTATAAGGACTCTCTCGCCAATCCTGTGGATACAATTAAACCATTAGAATCATAATCGGTACTCTAGTTTTCTTTAGAGTAGGCCATGAGTAGGCTGCATAAAATGCCATCTGGGCCGTGACAGATAAATTGAGATAAGGCATGTTTCAACTTCTTCAATGTACAAAACATAAATAACCCCAAAATATGTATAATTCTGAGCAATGTACAGACAAAACTATAACTTTATTGATATAGATTAACTGGGTTTGAATTTTAAATAGGCTACCGTATCTAAAAAAAAATTATAAAACTTCTTTTATAGTTTTACAAATAGTGCTGGGCGGGGGAATAATGTTTCTCATTTGTTGTGTACATCATTTATGAGGGGGGGGGGCTGTTGCTCAATTTTGGGGGGGTGCGTCATGCGTCTAGGGGGGGATGGGCACCCCTGCCTAATTAATACTTGGTTCTCAAACCCCAAAATTTTTCACTCAATGGGTCTTACCATTTGAAAGTCTTGAGTTTCCCCCAAAATCCCCCATTTTGGGAATGTACACCAAGTGGCAGTGATGCCCAAAAAGTCCTTCATAACATGCCATAAAGGTGGGCCAAGTTTCGTTTTTCTAGTATGGGCCAGTAAAAAATTAACAGGGGGTCTCCAGACTTTTTACTAACCCTGTATATATATATTTAAAGACAAAACTTATAAAGAGTTCATTATTATGCTGTAGGTTTTAAGTTTGGAAAACTAAGTTGTAGTACTTTTTTAAAGATGAAATGATATCCTTATCAAGACAATGTTTTGGGGTTCTATTGTGTAGTAGGGGTTATAAGCTAAACTAATTATAATCTAGAATAAGCTGGAAGCTCATGAAGTTGTGTTTGACTTCCAGTAAAACCACTTAAATACAGTTTAATACAGTTTTTTTAAGTTTATTAATAATAGCTACAACAACGTTTTTAAAGTACTGATACCAACTTAAAATATACCATCAATGCTTTATTAAAAATTGTGGAATTGGTAAAGAAACTATAAAATGTTTACATCGCCAGGAAACATTATGTTGAGTAATGAGGAAAATACAAATGAAAGCTTAAAATACCCTCTTAACGAAGATATTTCCTTACAACTACCTTAGCTTAAAACACTAAGGATCTTCGAAAACCTACAACCGCAAACAGTGTTGTAGTAGTTAGAAATGCAGACCTGTAACCTTGTCCGAGAAAAGATGGAAGGAGAGGAAGCCAGAATGAGGCTAGAGCTAACCAACGTCAGTCTACGGGGAGGGCGCGGCTAGCAAGCCTAGACAAGCTCCACTATAGATGCTCACGCTGCGCGGTTAAAGCTGCAGTCGCTTGACGCTTACCAAACACAACCTAACCTGACGTTTATCCACAGTAACCAAGGGGAGTTGAAATGGTTCAAAATAAATTTTACAGTAGTTTAAACAACAGTTTTACTTAATTTTTGTGTGAAAACTCTGGATTAGGAAGTTGGTTTTTTTCTTAAAACTCAAGTTTATGAGTTACTTACATTGTTTATTCCAAACCTTGATATGAACATATCCAATAAACTGCTTTTTCAGTAAACAAATGTGGATAAAAACACTTAATGAACTATCGGTGGTTTTTAAGGGTTCTTAATTCGAATTGTATGAACAAGCAAAATAGGAAAGTGTTTGAATATTCACTTACGTGTTTACCAAGTGAGTATTATGTGATTGCATGAATATGTACTTGAGGAAAAGTATGAAAGTGCTTGTTAAAATAAATGCATTTCAGTGTTCAATGAATACAAGTGACATGTACCATTAGTGCAAGAGGAACTTGAACTGAACAATATCCAACGACACCACATAGTTTAGAAAATGCAATTACAGATTCCAATCATAAAACGTCTTAACACAAAAATACTACAGTTCCTAACAACCTTTATTATACTAATTCTCATACTATAGTGTCGACTTTTACATTTGGTGTCACATGGGATAACTTTCATGAAAAGACATCACAAATGAAATAGATGAAGTAATTTAGTACTTGTTAGCCGAAACAGGAACGTGTTACGTTAAAAAAGCACAAAACCAAAGCATGAACCATGCACAAGTTGGCGATGCCCAGCAGCCGGCATGCCGTGCAACAAGGCTGCCTCCAGGGCAGCGTGAGCACCTTTGGTGGTAGGGTTAGGAACTACGGAGCTCAAACCGACATCTGTGTTCATTCATTGACCACTCTCACTCTGTACCGAACATCTGAGTAAAAAAGCATAAGCAAATAATAATTCTGGTCTTTTGAGGCAGTCAATAAATGAGAACAGATCGGCCAAAAGATCGATCAACAAACGTAACGCAAGCGAGGCGAGCGAACATGTGATGTTAGAAAGCACCTTCCTACCCTCAACATAACTCTGGTTCATGTTCTCCCCCTTCACCATGCCTGTCTGCATCATCATCATCCCAACATCTGTAAACATCAGGGGTGGCAACATCACAAAACGCGAAAAATCACTCACTAGTACCAACATGACAAAGCGAAATGCGAAAATAACCCACCGACCCTTGGATACGCCTAATGAAGCAAACTTCCCGAATAGCATGAAAGCTAATTGAACACAAAAAATTACTTTAAAGCAATTATGTTCAGAAAAGTAGAAAACCTTTTTAGTTTTTAAAACCCAAGCAAAAAGCATACAAAAACGTGAGTTTATCAATCAATTTAATTTTTTATCCATATGTAAACATTGAAAAACTGACTCATTGAATTAGTTTTTGAACCAAAACTTATCAAACAATTAAGCCCACAAGCGTTGATCTAGCAGAAACCTATAAGGAAAAACATACATTTTGAATTAATCAATTTTCAACCAATATCACACTGTCCGAACCCGGTCATGCCTCCTGTCCTGAGAGGGTCTTTGGTGGTCTTAAGATAAGTTATGAAACTAAAATAATAAATAAAACACAATGAAGAGTATGGACAATGCGTTTACCTGTAGGTCTTACCTAATTTGTACTTAATTATGCTGAAATAAGTTGTAATGGGCAAAGTTACACTCTTTTTGAGTTTTGTGAAGGGATTAGGTTGCTGACCTATAATTAATTTGCCCCTTGATAACATGGGTAGTGTAACATAAGTCCGGATTTAAAAGCCCACTTTTGATCTTTATCAACAAATGATGAAACACTCATCACTATTTTATATCACATGAAACCAGATACAAAATAATGTCGTAATTCCTGTAACTAAATGTTACCCCTAAAGTACAAATCAGAGAGTCCCTAACTGAAATTTTCCCAACTAATACACTGAAAAAACACAATTAGCAAAAAAAGCTTTCTTGGCTTTAAAAACCGTATCAAAACTGTAGTTGTTACTTAGGAGAATCATGACCTATTTTGATTGATAGGGCTGGGCTGGTTTGCATTGCAAGTTTCGGGAAAAACATTTTTTGTCCAAAACTCCAAGTTTTTAAAAACCTTAACTTTGAGTACATACATATTATTTTGTCATATACACATTTTAAATGTAATTTTATTTTTTCCTATACAGACATTGATAATATTGTTAAGTTTATGAAAATTCACATGTCTTAGCCTAAGATTAAAAATAATGTTATGGCTACCAATAGAAAATGCCATAGATGACTAAGCATAAATTCTTTAGGATTTTTTGAGAGAATAGCAAATCCTCTCAAAAAATCCTAAAAAATCTAGGCCCTTGTGCTCTATGCTACACCCTTAAGCATAAATTCTGTTGAATAAAACCTGTTTAAGAACAAACAGTGTAATGAAAAAGTATAATTTATTAATTGTGCCAATTATTATTTCACAACATAACTATTGACGTATCCGGCTTTTAGTTCTTATTTTCACCAAATATAAAACTGAGGAGTTACTTTAATGTATTTTGGGCTAAATACCAGATAAATGTACACTAAGTAAGGACAAAATGCAATCTGAAGCTAAAAATTTAATAATCGGCTATTATTTCAGAAATAATTTAGTAAATAACTTGCTGTTTTGGACATTGCTGTTATGGACTTAAAATGTCATACTTTATAGCACTAAAGGATACTTTTCAATTTATTCCCCCACACTAACCTAACTACAAGTCATTTTCTTATTTACACCTATAAACTAATCACGCAGTGCATTAAACGGCATCAAGTGCCACTAAAGAGTACTACATGGTATCGTCTGCACTAATGAAATGGCTCGGAACAATTTGAAGTGACACAAAACTCATTCAATGCGTTGCAATATAGAAACTGATAAAATAAGAATCAGTTTGGAAAATGAAACAAATCTAATTGAAGAGAGTATGCAGCACAATGAGGGTAATTGGGTCCTGCAACTAAATGCAAATAACGGACATAACCTAACGTAGCTAGATGAGTCAGTTAGTAGCGGAAGAGTCAAACAAGAGTATGTACAGGGTTCACTCACAGTTTTTGCATTTGCATTTCTTGATCAGCGTTTCGTCTTTGATGTCCTCGTGGCACGCTTTGCAGTAGAACCACGCTCTGAAACATAACCTCGGTTTGTAGTCTCACTTACCCTTGTCTTACCCAATCCTGCATCAAGGATTTATGATAGACTAAGCCTCTAGATTACCCTTTAATATTGATAATCAAGTGATACCAACTTATGGTATCCTAATCAAGAGATAGTTCCGAGCAACTAGTTTCATAGAAATTATACCATGTGAAAAGTCAAAAACAATTTAAGGATGAAAGTTCAAACATTGTCTATAATCAACGACAGCCGTTGGAAACAAAACAAAATCCGACAACAAAATTTAAATCCGACTGACCTTTTAACCTCGTCAGCTGATTGAGCAATAAAGAACCCCTGAGTGTTGGCTGAGATCTTCGCTCCTCTTGGATTGATGGAGATCTTGCTGTCGTGTCCATCCTCCCCTTTGATCTCGATGGCGAGAAGCAGAAGTTTGAGTTTTGTGAAACACAACCTGACAAAAATTATCATGTAATTATAGGAATTAATGAGCTTTTTCTATATTTATCCGAATTGAGAGATACGTTACTAATTCAGGGGAAATGTTTTGTAGAGATAGTTTCTATATAAATTAACACTTAATAAATTTATTTTTAATGTGATAAAGTTTTCTAAGTCTTAATATTCATTTTACTGATGCATAAGATTTCCTTTTAATTTTAAATTAATGTATCATTTATTTTTTAGCTCATTTATTTTCTGACTTACTTCTTTTGACTAATATAAAACCATAAAAGATAAATATTTTTAAATGATTTGGTCATTTTTAAGATTGACTTTGATAAAAGGGAAAACTTCTTATCCTAACATTTTTTCAACAATCTATAAAACTAGAACTTCTCAACTGCAGTCACTAATGGCTCACTCATTCAACAACAGAAATTCACTAGCTGTTTTTGTGCAATGCAAATAAGTCAGTTTAAACAAGTTGAGATTTGATAACAATTGCATCAACAACAACTGCATTTAACCGTTTTATTTTTCAAAATCAAAAACTTATAATTGTTTTATTTATTCACCCAATATAAAGGCAATACCATTGAAACACTAAGCTGCATAAGCTATAAAAAGGCTTGTCCACAGCATTTCTTGGTTTAAATTTTGTCTTGTAAATACATCATGTCGAGTCAGCCTATTATTATAGTTTCCCTTTCCTAAACAGGAACAAAGCTTGAACCAACTATACAGTATAGAGTTGCACTACAAATTAGGGATGGTCAAGTCTCGAAATTTCGGGAAATTTCGGCGAGACGAGATTTCTTTTTGGCCGAGATTTTTATTGAGACGAGAATAAAAAAAAAAAAATAATTTTAAAACGCCTGCAGAAAGTCAATGCAATACCCGCAATACAGGAGCGTGTTGTAGTTGCGTTTCCTTTGCGAAGGCGTTCTTATTTAATTAATTCTATAAATGTAAATATTACTTTAATTATTTTAATAATATTACTTTAATAACATTTGAGAAGTTTTGTTAAGTGTAAGCAGTGTGAGGAATGTTTTATTATTATAAAAAAGTCAAAACAAGTAACTATTTTATAAAAATTAATATTGCTTTTATTTTATGATTTATTTTATTTTAGGATAAGTTGAACTCTATCCTAACTGATATCACTATGTTTCCTAATCGTAGGCATTTTTAATAAGTTAGGCGTGATTAATAAAAAAATGTTATGCTGATGTTTTTTAATAAAAGATTGTAAATATTCTTGCCTATTATCATTATTTTTGTATTTAAACAGTCATCTAACAATGTTACAAAATCAGGTAAAAATTTTGAACGTGCATTTCCCGTTGTGTATGAGAAGGGAAATCCCGTCTCGATCTCGTCTCGAAATTTTATGAGAAATAAAAAATCTCGTCTCGTCTCGAACTAAAAAATTCAATCTCGTCCATCCCTACTACAAATCTACCTATCTATAATTTACCAAAGTGTTAGTTTACACAACTCATTAACTGAAAGTTTTAACTGTACAAAAACTGTTTTACCACATTTACCATTCACTTTTTTAAGGTGCAAACAAACATAAAAACTGGTACCTACGCTCTAAAAATTTGCTTCAAATAACAATAACCACTGTAAGGTAAATGAGAATCCATTATCTTAATGAGGTAATAAGGTAATTTATAATTAAGAGTAAACCCTGAAAGCTATAGACTATATTAAACATGAATAAAATTAAATAATGACATTGATGGTAAAAGCATGCTCATTGATTACAAAACACACATGCATTTATTTACAATTAAGTGTTATGTAGTGTGTTGTGGTTACGACAGATTTACATTGTTACGATACTTACGTATAACAATACTGACTTCAAAATATACCACTCTCTCTTAGATGCTCTAAAGGTTGACTGACGTATGTAGGATAGTAAAATGTCTGAACAATATCACATGAGAGCGTGATAATCTTTCGGGCACATAGCGAGACGCAATTAAACTGCGGCCCTGGAAATGCTCATAGTGTCTTCTCTTAAAAAATGTCACAATTTTAAGAGTAGAAAATAAAAATTTTTTAAATGGTCAAATTATGTTTGGTTGTTGAAATGAATTTTGATATTTCAAAGATCAATGGAAAGTTATACAATATATTATCAGACTTCTTTTGTTGTAATACAAAAATCAACATTAGAAAAATAGGTTACATACAACAGAGCATACATTTTTCAAACTAATCAATTGGAGATTTCCAATAGAATCAAAACTTGAAGAAGAATATCAGACTCAACCGATGTGTTGTTTAATGTTTTACTGTACATGCCTATCTATTCACATGCACTATTCTAGATATCTTCAGACGTAGAGGGGTACATGCCATCAAACTCTTCATATTCGGAGAACCCAAACCATGCAGTTTACTAACTGGAAACTAACTCCTGAAACTACAAGGGTTGGTAGGGGGAGGGGGAAGATGCCAGCTAGTCTAACTACATTTGGGCTATGCAACTGGTCTGAAACAGGTCTCTGAAAACTCTAAGTGAGCCTAAAAAGGAACAGTGCTGTAAATGATCTCCATGATTTTGTTGTTAAATAAATAACAAATAAAAAAAAACATCTTTACTATCAAACCTGAAGATAATTCATCCCCCTTCACTCAATCAAGAATCAAATAATCAATGAAAATGTTTAAAAATAGAGGATGAAAACCGCTACACATTATTAGATATCTATGAAAACAGCTGTATCCATAGAATGACATGTGCAGCAGACTAGGTGAGAAACCCAGAACTAATCTAGTTTGTCTGCACTTGAATTGTTAACATGGTTTATTTTTATAACTGATTAGTGACATTTGTTCATTTAGTAGCATTCAGGCAGAAAGAGATTGAGTCTTTGGTCTCTTGGGATAGCATAGAGAAAATCATTATAATCCAATATTTTCAGATATCAATTTTGAAGAGCAGTGGGAATTTCGCCAGAGAAAAGAATTTATTTATAAAAATAAATACCTCTGCCTTAAACAATAAGGTTGCCAATGACACAGAAAAATAGTACACATAAAATATCTAAGGATTATACAGATGTTTCTAGGACAAACATTTAAATTCTGTGCATTTCCTTGAGAATAGGAAATATAATCAAGAATTTAGCAATTTCCTATCATAACCTATATATTTTGTCTACAAAATAACAATTATTGAGATTTAGATGTGTTGAACATATGATTATTCATCAGGTACTAAGATCCTTTACATTGACAAAAGTCAAATGATTAAAGCACGGGTCACACTAGGCTGGCATCAGCGGCGAATTGAAAGAAGCCGCTACTGTCAGCTTGATGTGACCACAAAATTCGCAGCTGGCATCGCTAGCCGGCGATTATTTGTCAGCGGCTGGCGAAGTTGGACATGTTCAACTTTTGGTAGCGAGGCAGCGGCGACTAGAGGTCACGTGACCACTCGCACTCGCTGACACCATCGAGCAGCGTAGTCTGACCACCTCTAGAAGCGTGCCAGCGGCGACCAAAGGTAATATCCAGCTTGGTTTAACACAAAAAGGACAAAAGCAACTGTCTCAATTTTTTAATTAGAGGCTTAACTTAATTCTAGTAATCCCTGGAATGTATGTGGTGACTGATGGTGACATTCGTACAACATTTTGGTATGTTTCTGATTCTTTTTTAGTGCGTTTAAAAACGTGGTATTTTTTAAAAGTCTTTTTATTTGTAAATTATTTGTAACCAAGACCTGATCCACTAACGTCTCTTCTTGCGGTTAAGCATCTTTAATAAAATAATTTCTCTTTCACACACAGCATCCTCAATATTAAGTGCTGGATGAGGACCCAAAAAAGGACACAATGGTAACAAGAACTTAGCTTTAAACTTTAAAGTAGTTTGTAGCATAGAAATTACTGAGCTTAGGTGGGGTCGGGGAAGCAGGTTATTGATTTTATTAAATTTATTCCAAAACTAAACGTGCTTGTGGGACGTTTCTTCATAGAAGTAAGAACATGAAATAAGCAGCTTACAGTGATTTGTTACAAAACCTCAAAGCTGTTCTTTTCCTTCTCACACATCGTTAATATCGCGATCACCAGTGGCTGACAAGCAGCCTAGTGTGACCCGTGGAAAAGCCGCTGCTTGGTGGTGCTGGTGCCAGCCGCTGATCACCAGCGGCTGGCGAACAGCCTAGTGTGACCCGTGCTTTAGACATGACCATAAGGAAATTTAGAAAGAACACTGAATCTTTTTGACATAGGCAAAACTTATTCCATGGCAGTGCAGTAAAGAATATGTTAATCAAAACTATATCTACTCTAAGAGGTTAGGTCAAATCATTAAAATACGAGCCGATACTTTAAAACCAGTGACAGGCGCTATCAAACGGGGAGGGGACGGGCAAGGAAGGGGAGCAACTTACTCGCTGGCTTGAGGAAAACTCATCCCTGTGAAAGAAGGAGAAAGGGTTTCCGTGTACATCTCACAGCCCGTACCCTGAAGGTAGTCGTTCTGCCAAGCCTGAGTGTCGGGAGACTGTAACGAACAGACACTAAGACGAGCCCTGGAGTGTAGCTCAAAACCTCTCAAAACTTCGCCTCTTTGTTTAAGCCAACAAGTATACCAATTAAAAGACAATTTTTCCTTTTTCGGATCAAATAATAATTTTTAGGATTTCAAATATGGTTTTTCAATATGAGCGGTGGAATTCCGATTCATAGATTAAATTTGTTGGTGTACAAAGAGGTTGTTTTGAGGTTTGTTGAGCAAAGAGAGCACCTGGGACACAAAACAAGAGCGACAGACCTGCAAGAAGTGATGGTGAAATGACAACAACAATGCAACGACCCACACTTGCCTTCTAGCCCTCATCGCTCAAACACCAGAGTCAATGCTGTTGATATGATTAAAGCTTGCGTTTCAAAAGGTTAACTCACTATTTTTCTATGAAATAGTGGTGCTTTGGTAAATTTTCATAGTGTTTTTTGATTACCTAATAGTATTGAAAAAAACGTGTTAAAAGTTTAAAGGCATGACTTTATGTTCGGTTCTTTTATATATTGAGTTGTTAAGTTTTATGTTTTATAAATATTTCAAAATGTAATTTTAAAAAACTATTTTTACAACACCTCAGATTTTTTAACTTTAAACACAACAGCTCCTGAACAAAATCAATCACATTAACTTACTGAATCATCAAAATTGTGTCAATAAAATATTATTTCAATCTTTTACGTTAACATCTTTGAATCACGCTAAATGAGCGATGAGCGCTATAACGCTCAGCGGACGACATTAGCGGCATGTCAGCACCCAACTTACTCCGTCGCTTGTGCAAACGGCATGCCAATGAACGTAGGGCTCAAAGACTCGGTGTACATTTCCATGCCTGTGCCACGCAGGTAGTCGTTCTGCCAAGACTGATAATCCGCTGTTTGCGCACAGCGCACATTCTATAACAACTTGCCACTCAGTCAGACCTGTGTTGTACTCATTGTACTACCTACTTATTACTAACTCATACTAGCCCCATTGTAGGGGGATTTGAAAGGTAACTTGGCAAAATTTACTTAAAAAGTTAGTTTATGGTAAACCTAATTTCTCATATAGTAGGCTTTTGAGCTACAGTTAAATTATTAAAGTATGGTCTTGGTAATAATTTTGCTTGAGTATTCTTAATCTTGCATAGCCATTTTTAAGCGTAGAATTTTCCATTCTTTCAATTATTCCAATATTATTACCGGTTCAAAAAATCAAAATAATGTTCTCAAAAATTTAACAGAAGTTCGTGAAATACCTTATTTCTCAAGTTTATTGCCCTTTTCAGGTGGATGAGATAACTACTACATTTATTAAGAGTTAAGGAATTTTTTTAATATTGAGAACAACATAGCATTACCAAGAATAGTAAAAGTTTGGTTTTTGAAAACGTAGATATTTATTTACCAAGATTGAACTTTCGAAGGTAGATTTTTTTAAATACAAGTACCGGAACTACAACATGAATTGTTCTTCCCTCCAATATCCCTTCCACTCTCCCTCTTATTCCATTGTCTCATTGACAAAATATTTACAAAAAATATATTAACTGTCAAATTAATTTGTTATCTCTGAATACAAAATTTCACTTATCACTCTGCTACTACTACAATTACGTAATTTTTATTCTCCAAAATTTCTTGTATTTATTGTTTGAAATGGCACACTTTGAGTTACCGTTTTGAACGAGCGCATGGCAAACAGATTGGCCATCATGGTAGAGAAGCCCGGCGCAAGACAACTCTGCGCGATGAAACCCAGCTTGAGCTCGGCGAGACAGATCACGTCATCCCCCTGCTTCCAGTCCCACGAAGGAATGTTCAACAGGTACGCCTGAAAATGTAAGATGAGGTTTTTTAACATTTCATCAGGGACCTCATTTATTTAGTATAACGTTTTAAAAAATATTTATTTAAACACTTTATTTAACTATATCACAAATTATACCTCCTTAGGCCTTGGGTACGATACAAGCAATGAACTTCTCAATCTTTCATCTCAATCTACACAAAATGTAGCCAAAAGTAGCGATGGATATCCTTGTTTGTTCAATAAAACCATTGCCATCTTCCCTACCCTACATAACTAAATGGTGGTATTTACTCAAACACACTTCTCCTCGTTTTAATCATTTGTTCACTCATTGTCTCCCACACCTCTCGTTTACGAAAACTAAATTTTTTTAGCAGACAATTATTAGTTAATTAAAATATAAAACATTCTTCTTGCGGATCTGTACATTTTGCCATCTTAAACTAGACTGAAAATGGAGGAAATTTGACAAGTGTTAAGAAAATTGGCGCTTGTATCATAGCTACCATTACCGCTTATATTTTGCTCAGGTTGCCACCACCTGCTTGTATTGTACCCAAGGCCTTACACCGTGTGTACTGTATCTACTGAAATATTTTGATTTTTTTTTATAAGATGAGAGATATACATAATAAAAACAGACAAAGTAAATAAATAATTTTTTCCTCAAAGGATTGCGGCTGTAATCATTTCTAAAAAGTAACATGTTGTTCCTTATTGTATCTAAGAACAGTTGTCAACATATTTTACCTTATTGTGGTACTGCATCAGTTGGATGATAACTCTGATGTCGTCTGAGTAGTTTTTTATACTGATGACTCTCATGATGTTGGCCGCATCTTCAGCATCCGGGTCTTGGCAGTATTTGTTAGCCAACACCAAACACGCATCAGCTTCGTGCACCTATCGAGAACATTGACGTCATAACTTACTCACACACGGTTAACTAGAATTAATTAGAGTAGTTATCATTTTAAACTGTAACTCGTTGTCGACACAGGAAATTTCTTCAGGTGTTTAATCTTGAAATACAGCTACTCTTTTGATGGATACAATTTAATTTTAAAATAATATTTCTACAACAATATGTGAAATCGATTTGTGAGTTAGATCGATCTTGATAGATTGTTTCCAAAATTATATTTACAACTATTTATTATTATTTGGAAGTACATTGTAATTAAAGCCCTGATGTTTACAAAACCTTTTCCTAGCAAACACCAAAAAGGGACTTCCATGCTAAACTTCAAATCTACAATCTAATGGCCTTAAGAAGTTGGTGATGTAGTACATATGTTTCCTTTCGAGTTTAAATTTGAAATGGTTAATTGTTTATAGTAGAAAATCTTGTGACTATTAAATCCAATGTTCCTGTAACAGTCAAAATGTTAAACTTGACTAACCTGGATCATCAACTGTGCTGACATCCTAGCTCATAATCAAACTCTGTTAAATAAAATTTGGAAAAATATTCAAAGATACATTTGATTAGGCTATTATTAATTCATAAATTTTTTGTGAGCACATATTTATATAAAAAAAGTGCATTACAGAATGAATTAATATTTGAGAATAATGTGTAATTAATTAACTTTACTGGGAATACCATATTTGATTAATTTTAATATTATTAAACATACAATATTAAAGCCAAATGGCAGACCTCTTCACACAAACATGTGAAATGTGACATACTTCTTATGGTGAATATTTTTTTAGCAAAGTAATAATCTACTACGACTAATGATGCGACAAGATTCAAGAATTTAAAAACTTCACAAAAAGAGGAGCATTCTTTCAAAAAGCTAAGAAATATTTCTCAAAAGACATTATTTACAATTTAGTGTAGTAAAAATAATATTACAGATAAAAATTGTCAATACTAAAATGCATGTAAGAGCCACATTTCATTAAATAGACTGAAAAACATCTTGGAGCAAACAAACTAAACTAGGATTTTAGTATAGGCCTAATTCAAATTTTGCACATCATTTCACTAATCCAAATAGGACTATTTCCTCTTTTATATAGTTTTTAAAAATAATAATTGACAAAACCCCAATTCAAAAAATGAAAATACATAATATTTAACAGAAAAACATTGAAAGCCATTTATTTACATGCAAACATTTTGATTTAAAGATACATTAAAACAATAAACCACAGAATTTTGGTTTCTTTGTGTAAACACAAATACCTCCAAGGTATACTAATTTAACGTATCTTTCCATAAAATGAGGATGTTAAAAAACAGAGAAACATGCAAACAGCAAGTTAAGTCACAAAACTTACCATTAGAGGGCCGTGCATTGAAAAGACGAATCTAACCAATATCTGGTCACACCGAGAAAACGTTGGTGTTGTCATTGTTGTAAGACTTCACCATATATTGTTAAGTTTGTGTTTAATAAGTCAAATTGTTTTATATTTCAGAAAGAGCATACATGTTATTAGTTTACAGGGTGTATACCTACATATAGAAAATTTTAAAATTATTTTTAGTCTTTTAAAATACATAAAACATTAGGAGGGATTTTATGGCATTTTAAGGATTGGGCACAGTACCGGATTTAGGGTACTTTTGTCCCATGGGTTAATAAACCAAGCGGTATTCGCCACTTAGGCAGGACTTCCCCGCGATAGCAGTAAAATCGTGAATATCTCACACTGTCACAGGAAAATCATCATCGTTACCTGCAATTGCCATAAAATTGGGAATTTTAGGAGGTGTTTTATTTTTATTTTAAAGGACAGATAAAATTATCAAAGCATCTAATAAAGAAATTTAAAATCTAGGTCTATTTATAATTTAAATTGTGGCCCATCCTAGGCCACACGACCCATTCAAAAAGGGTTAAGGACCTAAAGGAGCAGTAGACACCCAAATCTGAAACCTATCATTAGGAAAAGCAATACTAAGTACTAAATTGAAGTTTAATCTCAGAGCAATGACAACAACAAACATACAAACACACAATTGTCATAATACGTCTTTTTGACGGTTTCCGAGCAAAGCTCAGCAGGGTTAGTCATCGCAAGCTGACAGTCACACACTTAGTAACTATGACCATTTGGTAATTTAAGGAAAGGGATCCCTAGTTAAAGCTTGCTGTTAACTAAGCCCTTCAGAAGCCAACACCATTTAACATAAAAAATTAGTCCTAAAAATTAACGTGTTTTCCAAACTAGGGCAATCCTATGTCCTTGAAAATACAAAACATTTGTTTATATGATTTCAATTTTGTATTATTAAAAAAGAGGAATTTCCTCTAAATATTTCTAAACCTAGCCTATATTAGTTATCATTAAAAAAAAAAATTATTATGGTAACATATAACCTTTAGAAGTTTATCTCCTATAATTCAAGTTATAAAATGTACAAGAATGGTTTAGGACAGTTTTTATAAACAAATAATTTTAAACTGTAAACCCCTGTTTTCATCCTCCTCTTATTATTAAATATATTATTTAGATTTTCTTTTTCCCACTCTTAACTTGTTATGTTTATGTATTTATTTCCTTTTTATGAATAAATTTCAAACATGAGTCTTCTTACTTTGCGACTCCCTTGGACAAAAACTTAACTTGTACAAAGACAAATTTAAACTGAACCACTAGGTTATGTCTCGCTGTTAAATTTCCGGTGGTCAGTAAGACCTAAAAAATAGTTCCAAAACAGAAAACCAGTATTAATACGTTTTCTGTCGGCCACTCACTGGTGAGTGTTCTAGTTCCTTTCTGCCACACTGAACGCTCACCCAAGTGTGGCGACATCGTCTACATTCCATTCAATTTCTGCGCAGCAGCACACCGGGAAGAATGGGTATTTTTATGTCTGCGTTTAGCTAGGAATGGGTGCTTTATTGTGGTGTAGGTTCGTAGTAAATTTCCCCATAAAATCTCCTTCTGACAAGCTTAGAAATGGACCTGTCCAGTCTTTCTCCCTCCAATTGGCAATACAATGGGACCGGCTAGTTCCAGACAGTGCTGATATCTGTGGGTGTTTCAGCAAACTACCTCGACTCTTGTCGTAACGCATAACATCACCGCACGTCATTTGCTATTTGTCAGACCGAAATATTTTAAAGCTAGCCGGGTTCGCTCGACGCTGCACAGAACCGGGGCTACGCCTGCCATTGATGGGGCCGCAGCGAACGTGTTAAGGCCACACCCCTTTCAAAAGTGATCAACACAACTAACAAATATGTTATGAACAACGCTATTTTTCTATAATATCGATATATTGTGGTCTGTGTAATATTGTAGTTAAGTGTAACCTTAGAAGTTTTACTTCTTACTTTATTTCCCAGGTTCTGCAAAAACCTTTGAGTGGGATCGAGATTGTTAGTGACTGAATCTACAAATTCTTTAGTTTGGTTTTGGCGTTGGGATGGACTTTGAAGACTGGATGGGACAGTGTGCGAAGAACACTCCACTCTGCAGACACCAACTTACAACAAGCGTTCACACATCCTGCCAGAAATATACTTAACGGATATCATCCAAAACTTACAAGATTTCTCAAACATTCCAAAATTCTATGTCCAAAAAAAATTCAATCCATTTCTATGTCCAAAATTTGTTCTTGGGTCAATGAAATCCTTTTCATGTAATAGCTTTTATTTCCTTACACAAAACTTTAAGACCCTCTTAAACAATAATATCAATTACATATTATTGATTTAAACCCACTTAATATCAACCCCTTTTAAAACCCTCTTAAAATCAATTACATCTTAGAATTACTTTTAAAAATCAGTGCTAGATTTGCAGGAGAACACAGGGAGACGGAGTTCCGGTTCCTCTCTTTTGGGAAGATAAAAATATTGGTATAAAAAGGTACAAATCACATTAAATAGGTTACAGTTCCGCAACTCATTTTTTACAATTCGAGCACTGGGTAAAGTTATACACTATTCAAATACATTGTTGATGCAAATGTGTACATATTGTAAAAACAAGTAAGGAAAAAAAAATTTATCTGATTTTACAAGTTTGTTGCAATAAAGAATGACAGGACCAATCAAAATAACACAATGTCCTGGTGCATTTATTTGGTATCGTATCAACAACTTAGACCACTTTGAATTATTAAAGTGTGCAAAAAACACATTTCAAAGACACTGATAAGAATTATTGTGAAAAAATTAGACAGCTTCAAAAAGTGTTGTTGCCAAAAAGTGATTTGAATATTAAAAACTGGCCCTCACTGAACAAAGAGCAAAATTAAATCAAAGAAGTTAAGTTTAAGAGAAAGGTATTTGATGCATCTTACTATTAGTGTTAAAATGTCTCCCCGTCCATTGTATTAAAGTGCCAAAGAAAGTGCTTAGTAATACTTTGAAATATTTATAAAAATAAACATATTGGGAGTATTTTGATTTCTTACATTTTTATCATTTATGTTTATCCAAATCAAATAGTCCATGAAAAACCGCTGTTTGATTCATTTTACTTGTTGAAATGATAAAACATCACAGGTAAAGACCGCAATGATTTCTGGCAGGATTGAGGATGACACAAATACAGCAACGGAGGTTACTGACCTTGACTCTCTGAAGGTCAATTGGGTTCATGATGGAGCCTTGAAAGAATTCGACGGTGGTGAAGTGACGTTTGAACAGTCCTTCCAGCTCCAAATCTGGGGGCTTCCTAGACCCCGAGCCCAACATAGATCAACTCAAAATAGAGAGAAGAAAAACAATGTGCTACACACCCATAGCTGACTATCTAACTAATCTACATGCCAGTGCACCTCCGTCCCTCTCCTATCATCTAGCCTCGGAAAGAATAGTAAAATGACAACAGGATCAGCATACCCATGAGGACATGAAATTGAATTTAGATCGTAAACAGGTGAGTTTGAAAGCGCTTTATTTACAAACATCTGATGGTATTTAGCAAATGATCTACTAGGCCACTGAATTAGATTCTGTCATAAAAAACTAAAAATCGAGACAAGAATGTAAACTTTTTGGACTGTTTTAAATATTTAGACCTTCTTTATTGCCAATTTGTTTCAAGTAAAAGATTACCCAAGTAATTTGAGTCTTAGGCAAAAGTGTGAAATGTGTTAAACAAATCATTATCTCCAATGAGGAAGGAGAATACAAGATTTGTGTGATAAAATTTAGTTGTGGAAATTAATCAAGAATTTACATAATTTCCAAGTCTGTGTTAGGCACAAAACTTTAAAATTTATCATTCCTTATGTTGAACCGCGGTAAAACCAATTTTCGTTCCGTGTCCAAGGTGAAGAGAGAGGCGAGGGACGGGCGAAGATGGAAGTGACGCAGCTAACACCTACAAGGCTGCCTAGGTTACCTTCACACGCTCTAGGTCTACGGCATTCATCATTGTTCCCTGAAAAAACTCCACAGTGGTGTAGTGACGTTTGAGCAGTCCTTCTAGCTCCAGATCTGGCTCCTTTCTGAAAGCCAAGATCTACTACAGGGTTCCGAAGCAAAAGAACCTTTGGTTAGGTCTTTGAAATGTGTTTGGTCTACTGCAAGTCTATCATGAGTTCAAGCAATCTAAATTTTTCGCACGGCTTTGACAGATTTATTTATATTTTAAAATATTTATCGCATATTCCTGATATGACAAAGTTGTTTAGCGACTGGTCAAGTGATTTTTTAAATTAAATAACCACCCATCAGAGACGATTATTGGCTAACATACTTTCTTAAGGACGGTTGTCATTATGCCTAGCCCAGACATTCCACCCAGCACTCAATGTTGCAAAGTGTGTTTATTTTTTTTTGTATAAAATTGTCAACAACACAATATTGAGAAATAAAGACATAACATCAGATATCATGTTTTATTTCATTTTTGCCACGTACTGCCGATAAAATCAAGCAAGCATAATTTTATTTTGAGATTTAATACAAAAACTTCTTTAAAAAATATATTATTCAGGGTACTTAGTTGTTCTTATTTACTACAATAATTTAAGTCATAAAAATATTTTTGGAAAATTGTTATCTAAAGATTACTTTATTTTGAAGTAATTACATTATTTCAAAACACTACAAATTCACACCAAAATTTAAGATAATGGCAAATTTGTCACACTGACAAAAGTTCATTTCTACTACGCAGTCCTGGTGCGTTTTACCTAATTTTTTATAACTTTAGGGGCTACTTTACTAAAAATATGCCTTTTGAATAAAATCTGTATTTCTAATCTACAATATTTCAAAGACCACACAAACAGGTGCTCAAACTCGTTTTACTCTTATTACTGTAAAAAGCAATTCAAAATAAATATTAGTTTACCTTATATTCCTGTAATAACAAATAAATCCTAAAAAGTGTAATTATTTTCAATTGAATAAATCAAAATATTCAATTTTAAAAGGTATACTCAAATTAAATATGTTTGTATTCTGATAAAAGAAATTTTTATTTTTAACAGAAAGTTTTGTTTAATAGAGACTAATTTGATAAAAGATAAGAATTTTAAACAGTCGTATTTTGTAAACTGTGTACAAAAATCATTAATTAAAAACCCCCCAAAAGATAACATTATATTTGGTTGAAGAGAGTAGACAGATTTATTTTGTTTATTACAAAGTACATTAGAAGCACAGTAAGTCAGATGAAGTGTTACTGTACTTTAAAGCATGTAATATTTTTTTCTTTTGTCAGTAAAATACTTAACAAAGTAATTGGTTGAGCCTTCTCTAATACTAAAAGAAAATATGTTGGTTTAATCGATATTTGTATGGATATTACAATTGTTCTCTTTTTATGATACAGTACATGTTTGTATTGCTCTTCACCTTTTGACACAATCAAGAAAGTTATAGTCAATAGACATATTTAAATTAATCTAAAAATAATATTTGTTCTTATTAGATGCTTCACAAACATTCTTACATTATTCCACTAGCTTGAAGGTTAGGTTAGGTTAGGTTCTAGTTAGGTATACCTGTGAAGAAATACCACCTCCACGTCAACATCTTCTCTGTCCTCGTGGAGAAAGTCCTTCAAGAAGTGAGACACAGACTCGTACGTGATGTGACCGCAGACGACTATATGCCTGCAACCCCCCAACAGACGGTGGCGATTAGACAACAACCAAACATAACCTCAAACTTAAACTGTCTAAAAGTTATGTGTAAATATATTTTTGGCTCAGAGCTTTTATTAGAATGAAGCCACTCGCAAAAAGTAGGCCTACATAGTAAGTGTCCAGCTCCCTTAAACAAAGCTTTCCTGCACAACAACCACCATTATTATTCTTTATTATTATTTCTTTGATCATTAAGAATAAAGCTATAGCAGTGCTCTCAACAAGCTATTCCAAACTCTCTGGAGGCGGCTCTAGCGGTAAATTCATTTTCAGAATAATTTGTATGGTATGCACCTGATATGCGTGCAATGTTTCATTCAAAGAGGAAACAGCAATAGTAAAATACTTAACAGCACTTGATTTCGCAAGATGAAATCAATCTTTGTATGGTGTCTAAAATCGTGCAATACAATTGTTAATTACATAAAGTTGTTATTCACTAAATAATAAGAAATACAACATATTGTTTTACGTTGCATTCAAATGATTGATTATCAACCCCACTTAATATTTCTCTACATGAAGGAAGCTTGTAAAATACATATTTTTAGTTAAAAACTAGAACTCCTAAGCATAAATTACTTTAGTGCATAAATCTCACATTAGACCCCCCTCTCGTAACTAGCCCTGAGTGCCCAAGCAAAAACAGTGAACAACTTTAACTAATGACCCTTTCTTTGCATTATGCTCTTAATTTTCAAATATACTTTATTCGCTTGAATTTAAAATCCCTCATTATGTTGCCAAATTTTGATTTAGCAATAATTTATTGTAAACTTAGAATTTTATCTTAATTTTTAATAGTGAAAATATTTTTGATAAGAAAAAATGTATCATTTTTATCATGGATTATTACAACACCATTTCCTAAAAATACTCAAACAATTGATACTTCTGATTATCTGGTTAAAACATTATTGTTTATGTAAACCCTGTAGTACGAATCATGTAACTTGGTTACAACATTCTTCTCTAACCAGTTGATTAGTGGTGTATTTTGGATCTTGAAATAGTAAAAAATCCAAATTGTCTATCCATTAAACTGAGTCTTACAGGAATATCTTACCGTAACATATGTTTCTCCTGGGTTTTATTACCAATTATGATTTAATTAATCACAATTATTACTGTTTTATTATATTAATATACTCACCATGCAGTGGCCAAATGAACTAACAGTAGTAATATAATGAATATTCAGATTAAGAATAAGCTATCAATTGTTACAGTTCAACTATTGCACTGTTAGCTTATATTCTTCACTCATGATAAATTTACATGGGTGGTAAAAATAGAGTTATAAGAGTTAAAAACTCTACAATGCTAAATGATAATATATAAACTGATCATCAATGAAAAAACATATATTTTTATGTTTTTTCATGAGACTTTTGTGTCTTTTATTTCCTTAATGTTTTGTAACAAAAAAATGTATAATTTAATTTAATACGATTAAAGATTGGGATGAAACATAATTATGAGTCCTTATAGCATTCATTTGGTTATTTTGATAACTAGTTTAGGTATATCCACCTCTAATCCTAGGCCGCAGCCAGAAAAAAAGAGGAGGCTATTATTTCAGACATTGAAACTGTTGATTATGAGTATATGTTGTCAAAAAACTTCTTTACACATAAAATCATTTCTGCCAAAATTTGTAGGCCTTACTGAATTTTGTAATTACAAAGCAGTTTTAAAACTCAATTTATTTTTGTCTTTTTTAATTTAACAGTTTACCTTAAGTATTTTTTTTTTTTTTCAGAATACACCACTTTTATTAGTTTATGTTTATCCCTTGATAGTTTTACAATTGATTGCACACTTATTATTTTGGAAAATTGTAGTAGTTATTGTTAATTAACAAAACTACAAATTTAATCAGTTATCATAAAATTTTATGTTTGAGAACAATTTTTACAGTAAATTACATTTCTGAATGTAAGAAGAATTACAATAACGCACAAGAAATATAAAAAAAAACTCTATTTTTACCACAATCCCAAACAATGTACATTTTCCTTGTTATCAGTAATAATCCAAACACTAAGCCATCCTAAAGCTAAATCCAAACCACAACCCTATAACCTACAGTACTCGACTATCAGTGTCTATGTAAAAAATATCTACTATGAAAATGCATTTGTAAAACTTAGCTCAAAGTGACTAATGTTGGCAGATTAAAAATAGCTACAAAAATTGAAAATTTGAATATGTAGTGCACGCGAGACAACTCTATGTCTAAGGAGCGTGCATCAGGCAACATTCCCATGCGGATTGACCCAACGGCCGCGTGATCTTAGCAGGGGAGGGGATGACGACGATCCGAGGTGTAAGTGAATCGTTTGATGTTCGTTATGACATACAAATAATGATCGGGTAGTCGGGAAGAGGAACACAGGAAACCGGGGGTAATGAGTGAAAATGACGTTGAACGCCTCGTAAAATCATCTACCGCAGCTCATGCCGATTCTGATGTCGCTGCTTGTAGACCTATTCTTAGTCTTTGAATTTGCTGAACAAAATAAAAAAATAATACAGACTAATAAACTGCCATAACATAATGAATGTCTATGGGTGTGTCAGCCTAGTCTAGTTCTATGAGGCCCTACTCTGATTTGATGAGACTGTACATGCACTAACGCGTTGTGGGAAGTGGACCCAGATGGAAATGCAGTCTACTCTACCTCAGAAACCTAGCTCAATTCTAATTGCTAGATCGTGTAGTCTCGTCTTGTATGTATTGTGTTCAATAAGTGTATTATAGATGCAATAGTATGTTTATAGTTTTTTATTAAGTATGTTTATGTTTAAAGAAGAGAACTGTTTTTCTGCTCTAAATATATTTAAATATTAATTTCAGCAAATTTCTTTAAACTGTTGAATCAAACAGAGTATAGATATAATTGGAAAATGTTTTAAATACATGAGATACATTATACTTTACTTTTTCATAAGCCCGGATCAGTAAGAACTAACTGGTTAATATGACAATTTACAATTCCGTAATTTTTATCCTATTTTCACTAAGACAAAACATTTAGCTTTTTAGATTAAAATTGTCATGAGGAAAACCGCAACAGGTTCTGCTAGTTCATAAAATTTAAGCTTGACAGTAATAATTATACTTTTTACATGTAACTGAAGTCATTCTCATATATATAATACTTTTTTTAATAAGAGCTTAGTTAAGATTTAGAGTTAGATCCATCATGTGAGGGTATGTATTCTGTATTGAAATGTTTGTACAAAACAGTAGTAAAGACATAGAGTGTGTATCGTGTACGTCTGTGAATGTTCTAGTCTACACAAGGAACCAAGTGCTAACCCAAGAGTGCAACATCAAAACACTTAACAAAACAACGGAAATAGGATTTCTGCTTCGAGTTGCCTCTTTACACACTGATTACGGTGGATTGGTCACCCACCTTCGTCCACGTTCGTTCTTCAGCGTTCCTCCGTACTTCGGTCTAGTCCCGATCAGGTCAATAATCTCGGGGATACAACTTGCGAAAATCGCCTAGACCAGGTGCGGTGTATGTGAGTGTACAGACAAATTAAAGAACACACAAAACAATACACTCCTACATCCAACACCAGGAAGGTGAGCTAAGTGTGAGGTCAGGTCCAGGAGAAGGGATAGAAGCAATTTTGTTTAACAATCTTTTATCACCAAAGTGTAGATGAGGTTAGATTCTAGAAAACTGAATGTTTATTGGATTTTGGTTTAGTTTTGACTATAAATTTTAAGTGGTACTAAAACTATTAACTCGTTATTATTTTTAATTTTTGTGTTGCCTATGTCTAATTTTAGTGTTTCGTGAATTCACTTGATTTAAGCTTCTCTTTAACTTCCTAGTTCTGTTGAGGTATTTAAAGTCACGATTTTCCCAGGGATCAAATGGAGCGAGTCTAGATGATAGTGAAGGTGACACGAAGGCGAAAGACAGTTAGTGTACTTCAAAACAAACCCATTCGTGTTAGAACTTCAAGCATCACTGAGGCACTGCACTTGACTTTACACTACGCGAGCCATTGGTTCTTGGTGTCATCAACTAAACAAAAAGAAACAAAACAAGGGGCAGGAACAGAGCATGATATGACATAGGTGAAGCCCAATCGAATTTCCCTCTTTAAGATGATGTAAACTCTAACTTACTTTTAACTGTTATTCGAAAAAAAATATTATCGAATAAATATCGCGTTTATCGTATATAAAAAAACATACAAATCACACTACAATATTAACAGTCGGTATTTTTAAGTGCTAACAAAACATAAGCAGGAAATCATCTCGGAATATTTACATTGGCGTGCATATAAGCTTGAGGTGCAAATCAATTTACTGAATACCTTAGCGAAATATAAAATATAGGCTGAGTCGTGAGTTTTCCAATACGAATGAACATCCAGTCATTCGGGTAGATGCTAATGAATGTCGATGAGGAAGAGTCGGGGGACCGGGAGGACAATGAAATGTAAGCCTGTGCTGTCTAGCCTATACTAACATACAGCTGCTAACTAGGGGACTAACTAGTGCATGCCACCAAGAAGAATAGCTCGCCTACCGAGTCTTCCCACAACGTCGTCTCGGACGAAGATTGTGGAAAAACCGATCAATTCTATAGTAAGCGTTAGAGACTCTAATCATCTGTTAAATCCCAATGCATTAGAGGAACACAAAAGAAAAAAAGGATCATGATTCAAAAAATGCGGAACAAAAACGTCATTACACATAAACAAATTATGGACACTACGTAAAAACAAAGTAAGCGTTTTGTGAGCGGTACATGGATATAAAGGTTTGTTTTTTCATCAAAACTCTACTTTCCAAAAAGGCAAGTCAAATATCTTTTCTAAAATTTGTCTAATGGAATGGAAGCTTGCCTCCGACGATCCCGCTTGTATTCACCGCCGTATTTGCACCGGTTCCCGGCGAGCTCGGTGATTTCTGGAATCCAACTGGCCATGACAGCCTACACACCGAGGATCAGTTAGGGAGGGCCATGGCAGTCTAGCACTAGTTTAGGAGGGGGAGGATCGGTCACTAGCCAGGTAAAATGTTAGTTTATACTTTAGAGGTTATATCAGGTTTAATTAGCCTACTAACCGATACATATTTAAGTATTATTATTTATATTTATTGTTTTATGCATTATAAAATTGACTATTAAATGCCATGGTCTACATTTTAAGTTATACAGTTGGTATTTATTTAGACGTAGAAATATAAATACAAGCTAAAATACCCATCGATTGTTAAAGTTAAGAGTGTTAGAAAGAATATTTATAATGTGTATTAGTAAATTAATACAGCAAAAATTTCAGTTACGTAGATTTTTAAGAATTTACTTTAGAAATATTAATCATAACAGCAAAATGCACGTTACTTTTCAGCTTCCAACCCAAAAAATGTGTTTTAAAATATATTTTCCATAGATTCACTCCTCAAGCCTATTTTATCCTTTTAACATGTGTAAAGACAACTATTTAAACGTTCTACTACACTTTTTCACAAACACAAAGTTAAGTTTTTAGACAATAAACTATGAATATGTCACACCATAAAAATGTTGTTAGATCATATAAAACTCAAAAATATATTCTTACATAATTCCTACTAAAGGAGTTTTTTTTTACACACAATTCTAACTCGTAAAAAAGTTATACAAGTACTAGCATTTGATTAGGTATTAGTGAATGAAATTATTATAATTTAAAACATATTTGTTCATATATTTTTTAACATTTTACTTTATATATTGCTTAATGCTTACGTGAAAAAAGCAAAACAAAAATTTACTAAAGTCAAAAACATTTATTCCATGAGTTAAGGTACCTATATAGCTTATAAAACAATCAGGAGCTTTCTGTGTGTGGTTTTTTATATTTATATTCATATTTGGACTATCATCTCCATTTATACTTGGCTTAAAATACCTATACTTTGTATGGTTGCCATTTCATAAAAAATTATTAAAAAGTATTAAAAGTATTAAAAGTATTAAAAGTATTAAAGTATTATAGTATTAAAGTATTTCTTTTTATTGTTTAGAAAATTCTAGGACATCAAATGGTTTTACATTTAACATATTTTTAAAAACAGTACAATATTGTTACTCTACCATCAATAATTGTTAACAATTGTTATTATTATAATCATCTTGCCTAGGTTATTTAGGCTACCTTCTCTTCACTAGGCAAACTTTTAACTCCAAAACAAACAAAAAACTATTGGGTACACGTTTGTTATATTGAAAAATTCTATTAATTGGTGTAACTATGTAAACATTTTGTCCATAAATAAATCAAATTAAAAATTGTATAAAATTTTAGCGTACGACTCACTTTTACACATAACATGACACAACTCGCACTCAAAATAAAAAATCAGTAATTCCAAAATGATATTCTTCAACAAATTTTAAATTAATAAGTTTAAATAAGGTAATTTATTGAAAAAAGTCGCTAAAAGCAGAATAATCAAACAGAAACATATAACAAAAAGAAAACAACATTTAAAGTAAAAAAAAATTATAATTCTAAAACAATAAGAATCAAATATAACTTAACATTTAAACCCAAACAATCAATGAATGGTATTGTTTCTATGTGATTCAAACTTCTTGAAAGTCCTTAAATGCCAGGACATTAAAAAAAATAGTTATAGTCCTCATTATGATCGTATGAACATTGGCTGTTACTAACTTAGCTCTTTAGCACTAAGAGATCAGGGGCTATAGTTTTACACCATTAACTCAAGTTTAGAAAAGTACTTAATGCTCTACTAAATAGTACATTACAATCAACTTTAAAAAATTTAGAGCAAAAGGTTGACTAGAAAGCTGGAATATGTACTAAGTATTGACACTATTTACAACAAAGCTTGTCTATATATTGAAACATAGACCGAACAAAGTAGACTAAAAGCAAAATACTATTGCTTCGTCTGGTTTTAACAAATAAGCGTGTACTGATTAACCCTTTAGGATATACATATAGATAGATAAATGTTTCAAACTGATAACAAACATTTCTTTTTTGTGGTTCCTAATCAATTATTTGTTTTCCGCTTATTTTTTTAACAAAATGTATCATTTCAAACATTGAAAAGTGGTTATTTTAAAATTTAGGTTTTCTTTATTCAGAACTGTAACTGTCTTGTTACGAAAATACAAATAAGATAAAATTAAAACCATTAAGATGATTTACTTATGGTATATTTTAAAAAATGCCTCTTTGTGTATTATGACAAATCATGGAATAAAAAACATTTAAATGTAACAACATATAAGAAGGCCAGCTCAGTGAAACGGGTTTTATAAAGAAGGATAAGGTTATAAAAGGTATAATGTTACCTGGATCTGCCAAAGTAATCCAAATTGCTGTCTAACGACTACGCGTTTCGAAGCAGTATAAGCTTCATCTTCAGGTCGTCAAGAACACATTTCACTCATCAGAGGTCGTCAAATAAATATAATTTGTACACATACATGGACGGAGAATAGTTACTGTAGGCCTACGAACCGCGTGCGCGCACTTAGACAGGTTTGTCATGACTGCGGCGGTGAGCGTTGGTCTCGTGAACTTTGTCCCTTGCCGGTCAGCTGTTCCTGGTTAGCTATTACAGTATCATACAATGCATCTGACTGGAAATTTAGTTTGTCGTTTAATATATCATAACTATGGCTTTTTGTTGCTTTTGTATATCTCGTACTCTTCAGGAAGCTTCATGAACGCCATAGAAGAGTACGAGATATACAAAGCAACAAAAAGCCATAGTTATGATCTATTAAACGACAAACTAAATTTCCAGTCAAATGCATTGTATGATACTGTAATAGCTAACCAGGAACAGCTGACCGGCAAGGGACAAAGTTCACGAGACCAACGCTCACCGCCGCAGTCATGACAAACCTGTCTAAGTGCGCGCACGCGGTTCGTAGGCCTACAGTAACTATTCTCCGTCCATGTATGTGTACAAATTATATTTATTTGACGACCTCTGATGAGTGAAATGTGTTCTTGACGACCTGAAGATGAAGCTTATACTGCTTCGAAACGCGTAGTCGTTAGACAGCAATTTGGATTACTTTGGCAGATCCAGGTAACATTATACCTTTTATAATCTAAAACAGTAATCCTGAGACAAGAAACAACATGAGGATAAGGTTAATCGTATATGCAGTATATAAATGATTACAATATAATAGATTAATATCTTGGTGCAACTGACTCAAATCCTGATGTGAGAATTAACAATGACATATTGAATAAGATTATTTTGATTTACTTCCGCCAGCTTTTAGAATAAGGAATTTATATAAGAAACTCCCATTATATACTTAAAACTTTAAATCTATATAATTAAAAGCACTATCCAGCCGTCAAATCAACATACCTACCAAGATATCAGTTACACATACTATATTACTATCATAAATACTTTTCAGACATAAACTTAGTGCAAGGCTTACGATTACCCTAAAAATCTTAACGTAGCATTGTTTATTAACCTAA